TTCTGTAACCACAGAATATTCACTGCTGTCCATATTGTGACATATTTTTCTAGCTAAGATGTGCCAGATCCCAAGACCTCTGCAGCCGTTTGCAAAGGGGAGGACAGAAGTACCATTCAAGAGCGTGCTTAACTTCACATGTGATGATGGGTAAGAGCGACGGCAAGAATGAAACCCCAAAACACAGTTGTGTTTGCAGTTAATATATCTGAGAACTTTTCGTCATCAGGTATGTCTTAATAGGAAGCAATGAAACCAGATGTTTACATGATAACACCTGGAGCAATCCACCACCTCTCTGCAAAGGTAATCCAGGAAAATGTACAGAGCGAAAATCAAACCATTAATGTTTAATGGACAGCAAAGAGAACAACCAATGCACATCGTACACTAAAATAAGCTGAGAGAAAACGAATTCAACTTTTGTCAATGTGACTCTAATCGGGCCTCTTTTTCTCCTTAAAGCTGTGAACTGTCCTCTGCCCAAGCCACCAAGCAATGGTAGGATTGTTCACGATAAGCCATTGACTGGAACCACAACTAAGTATGGCCAAGCTTGGACATATGAGTGTAATCCACCTAAAGCACCAAGCTATGAGAGAGGATTCTGCATGGCTAATGGAGGCGTAACTGAACCGCCGGTGTGTCGAGGTATGCAGACGTCTACTTTTGTTTTGGATCTTCACAAAAAACTGGAAAATTTTGTTGCTCTAAATTTTGTTTCCATTTTTTTTATTTAAAATGTTTTTGGTTTTTTTATGAAATTGCTGGTAACTGTTTAATTCCTATTCAAAACCTTATTCTAGACGTGAGCTGCCCAATTCCAACAAACATACCGAACGGCATCATCACCTTTGCTGTGATGAGACAACATGGCTACAAGGAGAAGGTTAGGTATGCCTGCAGTGAGCACTATGTTCTGGAAGGTCGGGATGAAATACAGTGTCAAAATACAGGAAACTGGTCATCAAAGCCGGTCTGCAGGGGTGAGTCATAGGAAAACAAGATCTTCCCTCAGGCTGAAATTCTAGCCTCATCTTAAACTATTCCAAAACATTTCTGATAGGTTCAGATTGTTTGTGTTCATGAGTGTCCGCTCGCTCACCCTAACGAGAAATAAGTTGGTGTCTCAGCATGTAGCACTCTCTTTATAAGCCACAGACTGGATTTGTAACATCCAGTGAAAATGCTTCAGCTGCTCTGTTTGTTCACCCAGCTCCCTGCACAGTTGGCATCAAAAGAGGCCGTATTTTCTATAACAGCAAGAAGATCTGGATTGGAGACTTGAAACCAAACAGAGTCCTCCATGGAGAACATGTCGCCTTCTATTGTCTGAACAAAACTGACAAATGTGGCTACCCTGTGGCCACCACTTGTAATGATGGAAACCTGCCCATCCCAGGATGCTTCGAGGGTGAGTTCCTGTTAACTCGCTAAATGTCTTTCAAGCAGTTGTAGCTTTGGTGGTGTTCAGGTCCCTAAGAGTGAAAAAAAAACCCAAAAAAGAAAATCAAAGAGCAGTTTCACTTTCTTTCTTCTTCCTTTGTGACATGTAGGTTGTTCAAAACTTGTTTATTTTATGTTAACTGGGCTCGTGATGAACATGTTCGGCCTCGCATGCTTTCACTTTAAACAACCCACTACATTTTTTTGTAAAACCCCCCAAACAATTAAATAATACTCCTGTCACATGGTTTCCAGATGTTTTTAGAAAGCCCATGCAGTCAAATGAAGATGTTCAAAGATTGCAGTAATATATTTGTTTCTGTCTTGTTCCCCCCCACACACACTTTTTTTTTTAGAACCAGGCAGGATGGATTACAACTTGAGGCCAAAAACGCTTCCATCAGAAATCACGATGTGTGCTTCTCCCCCAACTTCACGTCCAGGAAACGTTACAATCACACGTTGATGGAAGCCGCTATCTTTAAATGGCATTGTCTGTTTTCTTGTATTCAACTGATAATAAAATATCATTGGTCAGTCATGAAAGTGTGCATTCATTAGCACTTATTAACACTTATTAACACACTGTATCCGTAGCCATACACAGGCCAGACTTTGCTATGAAATAAGAAGATTTAAACTACGTGCGTTAATGATTTTCACATTTCAGTCAGATATGCTAAACTTGTGAGAAATGGCTCATTCAAAAGTTTAAACTTCCTAACCAGATGACGGCTATACAAAGTATAGCTCAGAGAGCTCGTGGCTAATAAAAAGCTATTAACATGAGAGAGGCTGACATAATTGCAGTGTCCAACTGACAACTTTCCCCAGGAGATTTAGTTTAGCCAATTCACACCTTTTTATGTTAGTCGATTCTTCGTTTGACCTTAGCTACTCAAATGCGATATCAGGGAGTGAACAACCCACACTCGTGCTGATGCCACTTTAGTCCCACTTGTGATAAAAATGAATTTAAATGGACTTGAAAGCTTGAACATGTAACAGGGTTGATAAAATATTCAGTGATGAGATGCTGTGTGGCTCTATTATTACTTCTTTGTGAAGAAAATCGCGCAGTTTCATTTGAATTAGTGTGCTACTTTATTTCAATTCATTTGAGTTTGGGCATTGATATTAAAACTGTAGCTGCTCATACAATGTTTCTGGCTTTGGTTTACAGTAACATAGATCCTCACAATCACTAATTTAGATTCTATTTGAGAAATGTGTCTCTTTCTACATAGATTCAAATTTCTCTTGAGTTTTAGCTCAGTAAGACAGATTTTCTTTATACTGTTGTATAAGACATCAAGCATGGACACCATGAGCAATGGTGACATAGGTGAGTGCAGAAATTTGTCAGCAATGATTGATTTTAAGGCATTCCTATATTCTAAGGCATCTCTGACTCACTTGTGCTAATGTTTCTCAAACTTTTTGTTGCATGCCAAACTTCAGATACTGAAAACGGTTCAAACTCTACAATTTTTCATCAGCTGGTAACATAAATGAAGAAAAAAAAAACATATCCAACTTAGATTCAGTATATATTTTTCTGATTGTCTCCTGCCTGTGGTGACTCTTGTCCCAAGGCATTGCATTAAGCTCTGCAGAGTAATTTATCTGCTACAAAATGGTGACACAGGAATGTAAAAAAGGTTGCAGCGTTGGGCAACAATCGTGGCAACAAGGGAAAGTCCACTCGTCCGGTTTGTTACTTCCAGTAAAAGGTCGCAAGGATCACAATCTGTAACTGCAGATAGCGAGCAAAATACAGAAAACAAAACAAAGATAGGCAGTAAGCAGTTACTTCATGTCGCTCTTATCTATTTACTCTAGAGAAATACAAACAGCAGCAACAGAGCGAGTCAGTATTTGAACCAGAGGCCACAGGAAAGTACTGAAGAACATCTGAACATTTCGACAAAAGATGGAACGATGGCTGACTTTGCTTCTGCTGTTTCCAGTTCTGTTTTTTAGCACCGTGACATCTGCCAAGGGTATTATTTCTTGTTTTTTTGATATCATATGTCTTGACTGTATATACATTTTTCATTTCACTGTTTTCTGTTTTTAGGATCACATCATCGCAATAGCCTTGTTTTAAAGAAATGTACTTTTGTAGTGCAGTTTTTATGTTAATGATTGTCACAGAAGTAAAATATTTGGGTTTTTTAGTTATAAGGAAATCAATCAGTAATCAGTTACTGAAGTACGATCATAAATGAGTGTTTTTGATCTTCATATGCAAAAAAACAATACTTTCAAGTGAATACTGCTTCTCTAAATTAGCAGTATTCATTTAGCGCAGACAGTTAATATTATTTGATAATCCGAAGACTTTTTTTTTTTTTGTAAAAATACGTTTCCATAATTATATGTGAATAATTCATTTCTATGGGAAAATGCTGGTGTTCACTTTGTAGTGCTGTAAGGTTTGTTAGATATTTTGCAAATGTAATAATATATAAACCCTCAGTTAACTTGACAGAGTGCATACACTTCTTAATAAATCATTTTGTTTTCAAAGGATGTCGCAGACCTCAGCTGAATGCCAACATCAATGTGGCTGTGGACCAGATGTTCTTTGACCCTGGTGTGGAGTTAGCGCTGTCCTGCAAAGACGGATACACCCCCATCTCAGGCCCTCGCACAATTGTTTGCACTACCAGTGGAGCGTGGACAGCCACTAAATTTCTGTGCAAGCGTGGGTCTCCATTTTTTTTGTGAGAAATTAACATCTTGGAACTGATTGCCTTGTGTTGTAACTTAATACCAACATAAATTCATCATCTTTCATGACGCATTTAAGATTTTCAAGTCAATTGTCTCCTTAATAACAAAACTTTTGCAGAATAATTTAAAGGAAACTGTAATAAGTGCAAATATTACTAATATGTTTCAATTTGCTCTAGAAGGAGTGTTTTTTCTATTTTTTGTAGAGTAACCTAATTTTAACTGTAACATTTTCTAATACTACTAATTGACACGCTTCATGTTTGTTCTTATGTTGTAATATATATTATATAATTTAAAATGTTTAAATAATGAAAGGGTTAGACTATATACAGTGGGACCAGTATTTGATGGTTTCATGAAAGAACAGAATGCAAATCTTTTTCTGTTTACATTATTCTTCAACAAATAAATACCGAAACTTATCATGAACATATTGTTTCTTGCAGCAAAGCTGTGTCCTTATCCTGATTCCCCACCTAATGGAGACTTATACTACGAGGATACTGTCTACCAGAGTACGATCAACTATACTTGTCAGGAAGGGTAAAGGAAGAGCATCTTGTCAAATTTTATTGTGTGACATGGTACACCACACCATATCTTTCCACATACACCACAAACCAAGAGTAATAAGACTCCATAATATGCAGTAAAAGTAGATGTATAACCAGCTGCTGTTTTTGATGCGCCATTTAAAGACAAATTTGTTTCTTTAATCTATCGGGCACTTTGTTCTCGCTAACGCTTTGGTTTTTTGGTGTGCAAATAAAGAACTTCTAATGAGGTGCAAAATACTGTCTAGTGGAAAATGCATGTTTAGTAAATAGCAATCAAACATTCAGTCAGCCTTTGCATTCAAATAGATTTAACATTTTTGAGTTATTATGTGATTAAACATTTTAAGCATTAACTTAATGAATAATATTGCACTGCATAGGTATATACTGTCTGGATCCAGCACCTCTGTCTGCCAAGCCAATGGAACATGGAGCTCACCTGTACCAGAATGCATAGGTACAGAATCACAAAGAGAAAATATATTTATTTCTTTATTTATTAAAATTTTATTTGATGTATATAAATATATGTTACAGCTATCTGGAATATGCAGTTGTTCTTCCTTCGTACTGTTTATATGTTTTTATATCTATGACATTCAGAAATAAAATTGATGAGAAACAAGAATTTACTGAGTGGGCCGAGCTGTAGAAGGCCATGCAAATTATTACATACTCTAAAACAGGCGCAAGTTATAAGTAATTAGGTAAGACACTTTACAATTTCATGTAACGATACATATCTAAATTCACTCATTGTGTCTCTCCTGTCGCAGCTATGACCTGTGGTCTTCCTCCGATCCCAGAGTTTGGGATGATTGTTTACAACACCAGGGTTAGAGGGAGCACCACTGATTACGGCATCACGGGGACTTACAAATGCCTGCCTCCATACGCACTTTTCGGTGATGCAACGGCAGAGTGCACGACCAGTGGCACCTGGACCAAGACACCCGAATGTCGACGTACGTGAGGATGTAAAAGCTACAGCGGCACTGCAGATGTATTTTACTGAACACAACCATCCTTTCAAACTAAAAGAAAGCCCAAAAATATATGTGTTAGCTTTGACGTGTCACAATTTCAAACTGTTAAAAAGCTGAGGATTAGAGTTTAGTATTTATGTCAGTAACAGTAGATTGATTAAACTTAGGATAAAGCTGAAACATCTCCCATTTAGTTCTGAAAACTTTAAAAATCATACTTTAAAAAGTATGAGCGTCTCTATCATACTCCATAATTAGATCATAACAAGCATAGTAGAAGTATAGTTGTTGATTGAATAAGTATCTTTTCAAATCGGGACAGGATGAATGATCAAATATGCAGTTAATGGACAACTCGTGGTTCTGTTTGTTCACTGAGAATAATGTGAAATCTGAGGAAAAATACAATAAATCTAAATACATTTGGACAGATTTTGGAATTTTCTCCCTTCTTAGCTGTAAAGTAAAATATTCCTCTCCAGTAAAAAGGTCATAATGATGCAGAGCTATGAAAGACAGCATGAAGCCTAGCTACATTAATATTGTCGTCTAAGCAGTCTACTGAAATTGCTCCTTTACAGGGGTGACTTGCTCTCTACCAGAGAACATTGATAGAGGCTACATGTCAACCAATGACCAGAGAGACTTTGACTACCTGGAGACCATCAAATATGGCTGCACTGGAGATTATATAGTGGAGGGAAGTCTGCAGATTGTTTGCCAGCAGGATGGAACTTGGTCTGAGAAGCCATCCTGCAAGGGTAGGACTGTAGCCAATATCACATCTTTTAAACCACACTTTATTTTCAAAGAGCTGCGCTTTTTAGGAGATTATATTAGTTGAACGGAGACTTTCATCTCTTGTATTTTTTAATTCTCCTTCTTGTAACTTACAGCTCCTTGTAAGATTGGAATAGATAAAGGGAGGATACTTTACAAAGGGAATAAAATGTGGATTGAAGACTTTAAACCCAACAAAGTCTTCCACAAAGATATTGTCTCTGTCTGGTGCATGAACAACGCCAGGAAATGTGGATATTCTGTGTCAACGCAGTGCATCGATGGAAGGCTCATGATCCCTGAATGCTATGAAGGTAAGGTCTATTTCATAAAGAAAGATAAAAGAAAGCATAACAATACACTAGCAAAAAATTAATAATAATAATAATCCATCCATTTTCTTCCACTTATCTGGGACTGGGATGTGGGGGGAGGAGGAAAAGCCCAGGCCCCCTCTCCCCACCCACCTCCTCCATTTTATCTGGGGGAGCATTAAGACATTCCCAGGCCAGCCGAGAGATATAATCTCTCAAGCGCGTCCTGATTCTGACCCGCGGCCTCCTCCAAGTGGGACATGCCCAGAACATCTCACCCGGGAGTTGTTCAGCACGCATCCTAGTCAGATAGCCAAACCACCTCAACTGGCTCCTTTCAATGCAGAGGAATAGCTGCTCTACTCTGAGCTCCTCTCGAATGGCCAAACTCATCTCTCAGTTCATTTCCACTGCTTGTATCTGCAATCTCGTTCTTTCAGTCACTATCAATGTAGTCGCTATACCCCAATCTGTCCCTCTCCCCTCACTTGTGAACAAGTCCCGGAGACTTAAACTCCTCCACTTGGGGCAGCAACTCGTCCCTGAGCTGAAGTGGGCACTCCACCTTTTTCCTGCTGGAGACCATTGCCTCAGACTTGAAGCTGCTAGTTCTCACACCAGCTTGGCTGCAAACTGCTCCGGTGCAAACTGGAGGCCACCACCTAATGAAGCCAACAGAACCACATCATCTGCAAAAAGCAGAAATGAGATTTTGAGGCCACCAAAGTGGAAGCTTTGTTAGTCTCACCACCACATACTCCCACTGGGTACTACAGGGGATGCCATTGAATGCTTCCTCCAAATGCATAAAACACATATAGAACTGGTCCTGCATTCAAAGTCTATGCCAGCACCCTGACATAGACTTCCTGGGGAGGCTGAAAAGTGTTATCCCTCTGAGTTGTCGCAGCCCCTAAGGTCCCCCTTAATATATAGGTGTTTTTTTTTTAAAAGGGACATGCCAGTAAAAGTGACATATTTACAGTCTTCAACAAGTAACCAGTAGACTGTGACACAGGGATTTGTACTAACTTTCCATGTGGAGATGCTAAAAGTACTCATTTCCCATTAGAACTATTATCACTCAATCGTGCAGAAAATAGCAAAGCACAGCTGCACACATGGGTTCTTCTGCTGTCTGCTTTCTTGAGATAACAGAAAATATTTCCTTTAACTGTCCTCCTTTTTTTCCTGTATCTTAATAAATGTAAAGATGACAGTTCTCCTCAGCACTCTTCAGTTATTAAGAGCTTAAAGTTACTGTGAATATTCTAACTTGTTCCATGTTTCATTGTGTCTTTTTCCAGAGCCCAGTGGTATAAATTATAATCTCAATTCAGGTTCACTTCCATCAGAAATTCAACAATGCTGAAGAAAATGCAGATGCCAACTGAGGTGATGCAATATGGAGCACATGTTAACGCATTCTGGTCGCTGAAATTAAAGAATGTGGTTTCACTGAAGCTACATTTACGTTGTAAAAAATGCAGTTCAATTTGTAGTAGTTTTATAATTCATTTATGAAAGGAATTTAAATTTACTGTGTTCAGGATTGAAACACGATGTGTGGATATTACTTTCCATTAAAGGCCAGGAGACAAGTGTTCACATTTAGCTGTTGCTCAAAGTGTGTATATGTCTGTGTGCACATTTCCAAGCTGGTTTTTCAGAGTACCTTTGATTCTATCAATTCACATCTAGTGTCCTGTTAAATTTAGAGATTATTTTAGTGTTTCATCGAAACTGGTAAAGTTCTTAACAAAATGAAGATTGCTGCAGTTGTACTGCTGTTTCTCTACTTACACAATTCTCTAAAATCCCAGAAAAATGGTTCAAAAACCAATTTAGACAAATTCTATGATTAAATTCAAATTTATTTGAATATGAGTGAAAACTATTCAATTCAACTCAATTTACTACAGTTGTATTTATATAGCAACAAATCACAACAACTGGTGCCTTAATGCGCTTTATATTGTAAGGTAAAACCCTACAGTAATACAAAAAAGAGGAAACCCCAACAATCATATGACCCCTTCTGAGCAAGCTCTTTGCCGACAATGGGAAGGAAAAACTCCCTTGTTGGTCAGTGGTCATGGCAATTTACATATCAATGATCAAGGAACTGACCGCACACAGGCCACTGTTTGCCAGTGGTGCTAGTTTCACTCATTTTGTAAATTTACTTTAAGGGTGGGATCCAAGTCCAAGTCACTTGGATGTGTCACGGGTATAAGTTAGAAGGGAACCCCGGGAAGAGCAGCAGGGGATGATCACGGGACCAGAAAGACAAGTAAAATCTTGTTAAAGTAATTAATAAAATATATACTTTATTTACAGCATAAAAATGTATCCTGATCAGGGGAAAGAATAATTAAAAGAACATAAAACTAAACACAATAAAGGTCCATTCCGCAACAGTCCCAATCAGTCTCCGCCACACTTAAGGCTGATAACAGTCCACCGAACTCCACCAGTGGGGCCAGGCCGACAGCGCCCTCCAGTAGTGTCCTCCACCACTCCGCTCCGCTCCGCTAAACACAGTGAAGCAGCGGCAGCCACCCATCCTGTACCAGGGATGTCTTTATACATTTCTACAACGGGATTTACCCCGCGAGGGCAGAGCTCTAAACTCCGCCCGCCGCTGCTCTGTGGCTAAAGTGTTTTAGCTGGTGTCTTGCTGCCACCTGGGCGAAGTCTGCCATCCATGGACCGAAGGCCCTCCTGTGGCTGCGCCTGCCGTCACGCTACTCTATTGCTCTCTCCTTCTCATCTGCCACACGTGTCTTCTCTGACCTGCCAGACCATCTTATTGGCCGCCGCCATCAAGAGAGGCCTGATTGATTTCTGTCCCCTGTGTCTACTTAGGGAAAGCAGGGGGCGGAGTCTCTCCGGAAGAAGATGCAATAAACACAATAAAAGCATACAACACTAAAATATACTCGACATTAAAACACAACAAAGCATGCAACTCTAGATAAGAAATCCTTCTTGCCCAGATGATGAGTGATGAAACATTTCTCAGACTGAAAATGCTACATCCAGATGAACAGAATCAACTTTGGGAGATTTCCTTACGTGGATGATTGAGCATGTGTCAAGACAATCAACAGGGTCCTGTTACTATATCAGCTTTATACTTTATACCAATCATCATAACAAGCTTTCCTTAAAAAGACATGTTCTTGTGTGTCAATGCAGCCAAATAGTGTAGCCTTTTGGGTGTTAAAGGCAGGAAAAAAGATGGAAGAGAGCCAGAGATGAATTCTAACTAATGCTTAAAAGAGGATAAAAGAGAGTAATAATGTATACATTATGTGAGCTATGGCCCTATGATTTATGACAAGGCAAGTTATAAAGGAAGTAATAAAGATTTATGACAGTTATAATGTTAATGACATGTCATACAATTATTATATATCATACCTGGGTATAATTGACAACAACATGATGAAAATATGATGATGAACATATGGAACAGCATTATGAATATTATGTTTGAGAATATGATTCATTCATTCATAATGATGTCTTCACTTTTTAGACAGCTGTTGGCTGTGTGTTTGTGTGTGAGAAAATATGTTAAATGATAGTAAACAGGTTGTTGTCATTAAACGGCTGCTTTTGTGACAACAGAGGGTGATGGTGATGGGGGCAGCTGGAGGCTGCAAACCCGTTTAAAGTCTGTAACTCATTTTATGTGTTTATTTAATCCGAAAAAGGAAAATTGCAATCCAAGTGAGACTTAGACATTCTACAGCTCCATGTGAGTCGACTGTTCAGGAGCAGACTCTGAAGAGACAGGTGAATCTTCACACAGCAGCCAGTCTGGGCCAGATGACAAGACCTTCGACTGACATTTCGAGCACCGAGGTGAACCACAAATAAAGCAATTTAAAAAAGAGGTGGCCCAACCCAGGTCTCATCAGCCAGAATTTCACCTAATGACAATAACCATTACTCAGGGTTCGAGCCACAACCTGAAGCTCCTCCCTGAAGCACAAATAAAGCAGTTTCAAAGTGGTACCAGCCAGAAACCGGGGGATGGCTTTTACCCGACCAATTAGAAACACAGATGTTTTTACGGCCTTCTGATAAAGGGTTTGGTGTTTAGTATCCCTCAGACAGTGGGGGAGTTCAGGACGTCACACTGGCGCTCTAGATGTCAAGCTTCTGCGTTGACCAAGGAAGATTCGGAGCTCATCAAAATAGACGCCGGTGTCCTGCTGTGCTTATGATACAGTAAAGTGGAAATTTTCCTACTTTGCCAAAGATTTTTATTTTTCATGCCTCTGTGATTTTTATTTTAGATCACAGGGACAGCCTTTTGTCATGGTCCTGCATCTCTGACCCAGCGTTTTGAGCTGGTTGTAGACTCATTATTCTTTCTGGTTATTTAAGAGATCACTTAAAGCCAAACTATAAAGTCAGTACTTTATAATTTAGCGTCCTGTAGTGCATTTCAGTTTATTTCTAGTTTGTTGGTCGCATTATGTTTAGTTTTGCTTCCCCGGTCTCATCAGTCAGGGCATTTATGTGAAAAGTAAAAGACCATCTTTGAATCGAGGAGGGGGCCTAGTGGTACATCTTTCACCATCTTACAATGCTGAGCTTGCAGCCATTCCCCAACTCTCTGTGAACGGTACTCATGGCCTTTGATCAATGGTCATTAATCAAGCATAACAACACTTACATGCTGTTATTCAAAAGCCCATGTGATAAATAACATATTAATATAATAGCTCCTCAAATATTTCCTGGACACTAACATTTTTTATTTGAGAGTTTTAAATCAATATCAATAATTCTATCAATAATTAACCTCACGGTTATTTGTTGATAGACCTCACACCCAGCTGTCCAGAGCACCTGAGGCTGAGATCAGGGATACTGCCTAAGAAACAGCTTTGTGTTTTCTTATCAAGGAAAAAATGATTTTAAAAATATGTCTGTAAGATTGAGAAGACACTTTGCTTTGCTGAAAACACTGACCTCTAGCTCACAGAGAAATCGCACAGCTATATTAGAAGAATGCTCACCAGATTTTATGCAAGCGAGCTCTGCATCAACCTTTTAAAAGGTAATATCCTTATTACAGATTGCCAGTATAAAAAAAATAAGACGATACAAGGAAAACAGACTGATGGCTAATAAGTGAGATGGAGTCATGCTACTACTTCTTACTACGGTGTTACCTATCATGGTGGCAATATGTGCAATTAGTAAATAACAATCTGTTTCCATACATGTATTATCATAATAACAATAAAAATGCACAAAATGTATTTGATCTCTCCTGAACAAATCAAACGGCTACATGAAATGAATCTAAATTCAGGACAGACAAGAAGACAGTTGAAAATGATCTGGATTATCAGACTCAAAAGGCTACAGTGGCTGGAATGATGACGGTGAATGAATAAAGACAAGCCTGTCGCAGTGTGAAAAAGGACCACAAGTGTACACGCTGTCCGTTCTTATTTTCTTTTTTATTGTAGAGACACACTACTGACAGTCTCTTTCTCCACTTTGGTTGAGCACCCACTCGTGACACTCTGACACTCTTCTCCCACACTCTGCTCCGGCTGCAAAGCCAGATACCACCAGGTGATATGGGCATCCTTCATGCGGTGGAACCACTGTAGTGTGGTGTGGTCCGAGCAGAGGGTGAATGAACGTCCCAGGAGGTAATATCGGAGGGAGTTGACCAACCACCAGATCGGCAGGCACTCCTTATCCATGGTGCTTTATTTTTGCTCACTTCCTGTCAACTTCCAGCTGATGTAGAGTATTTGGCACCTCCGATCCCAACTCATCTGTTTCCCAGAGAAGCTGTTTCAGCCTCTCTCCATACTTTAAGGAGGTTGAGGTGATATATCTGTGTGACCGTACAACTTCTTAGTCTACACCCCCCACTTGCCGTGTGATCGCTAAGGGCCCTTGCCACTTGGCCAGTACACTTGGCCAGTAACTTTGAGCTAGAAGAAGTGAGTAATACAGGCATTTTATGTCCCAGTGAAAACTGCCTGAGTCTAGCCCCTCTGTTGTACATGCACTACTGATGTTCCTGGGCCTGGAGCAAATTTCCCTGTGATAGTCTTCCCAATGTGTGTAGCTCTGAGGTCCAGAAGATACAGACTTTAAAGGTCCAACATCGTCTGCGGCTTCTTGTTACTCAAAGGGTGAAAATCCCATGGAGGTGTGGGGCACCTCCCACACTGCAAACAACAGAGGGTCTAACCAGCGAACCCAATTGCACTCATCGTCATGAATTAACTTACAAATCATGGACTTTAAAGTCTTACTGAGTCTGTCCATCAGTCAATCAGTCTGAGGGTGGTAGACACTGGTCCAAACAGATTTAATTCCCAGTCATTTGTATAGTTCTATTAGTGTATGAAACATGAACAATGTGCCATGGCCAGTCAGTATCTCTTTCGGGACGCTGACTCGGGAGATGACCTGAAACAGTGCCTGCCCCACACTCTTTGCAGAAATTGTGTGCAGCACCACTGCTCGGGATGGTCTGCCATTCGCCATGGTCTGGGTACAGCCCAAGTCCACCAAGGCCTGGCGTATATCGCTTTGGAACCTTACTGGTACACCGTACATCCCTCTCAGACCGAGGGAGGTTGTTGGAGGGCCAGCAACACGAAACATCTGCTCCATCTTGAACAGCATGCTGCTGGTAGACGTGCCCGGGTTGCCCACACCTCCAACACGGCTGCCTCGACGCTTGTTCGGCTCACGGTGAGTGAGGTGTGGTGTCTGTAGCTGCTGTGACCTGTACAAATAGAGCACAGACAAGCGGGTTAGTGGCCAACTTTGGCCACTACCCTGGAGCATCTTCCTCAGAGCTTGGACTAGTGGTTGTGGATGTCCCGCTGCTTTCCTTGGCCAGTGTTATGCCAGCATCCAGGCTGGCTGGCCAGTGAGAGTGGACTCATTCTGCGGTCTCTGTGGGGAGCCCCGCAAAGAAATGCTCCTCCACCACCAGGCATAGGCAAAAGGTCGGTCCTCCGGGCCACTTTCAAACACCTTTGTCTGGCACTTAGACTGGTCCTGCAGCTGTTCCAACTGATGATATTTATCGCTGCTCAGCTTTCCAGCTGCATCCCTCCACTCTGCACACCACACAAAGCTCTTAATTCAGGTCCTGGTGTCCTACTCATATAGGGAAGACATGATTAGAAATGGTCAACAGCTTGTTCTGGTCAGCCTCCCCGACACACCCTGAAATCACTGCTCCAGCCCTCCACTGCAGCTGAGCCATATACAAACCACACATGACTGTCATACATATTTTATTACTTCCTTTATTGCTTCAATTGTCATAAATCAGAGGGCCATAACTCACTTTTTAACATAAGGTATATCTTATCATTCTCTGATTCTACATCATTGGTAATAACTGCCTAAATCAAGGAGATTACAATAAATGCTTACACAAGCATCTGACAAAAATCAGTCATAATATAAACTGTTAAGGGAAAACTCTGTAAAAAACCCAGGAGAAATAAAGACACAAGGAGACAAGGTTACTTTTTATGCTTTAACTGTAACAGTATTCACTTTAGAAGAGCTGTAGTGCTCTGAAGTGAAACCTTTAACTGACAGGACACAATTTGTGAAGCTGGGAATATTCTTCATCATGCTTGGATGTATTAAAATTAGTATTATTTGCAGATGGAACAAATATTTTTTTATTCTAGGGAAAAAGAGTCACTGGAACTGGTCACTTCAAACATGTGGAAAAAAAGTAGTTTGCTAGGACCAAATTATCATTAAATCTACATAAAACTAAAATTTGTTATTCGGTAAGAATGATGTACAAGTGCACATAGATGGTGTGGAAATTGATACATTTAATAAAAATAAATTTCTTGATGTGATAATAATTGATTAAACAGGATGAAAATAGCAATAAAATATATACATACGAATATACATAAGAAGCAAAACATATTCAGATTCTCTCCTGTCGATTTCACTGTACAGGGGTTTGGCACAATACTTATGAATGTTCACTATCATTGGCATTGGCTCCTTGTCAAACACCGCATTGAGTTTAAAATTCTGTTGCCCGCCGCAGTGACAGAAGTCTCGTGGATCCGGTGCGTCAGTTCATCTGTATTCTCGCGAGATCCAACGAGTTCTTCTCGTCCAGCATGGCAGCGCTGTATGAAGGATACACGTTGTGTGGGCTTGTTCCAGATCAAAATCTGTCAAGTTCAGGCATTCAAGGGATCGAAGAGGAGAGAGATCGCGATCATGTCGTGGTCACGGATTCAACCAGATCAGTGACTCTGTACAAGGTAACGTTTAAAATTAGCTTTCAGGAGGCTCCTCTAACCTGGGCCAGCTGATCAGTGCGACTCGTGTTAGCATCCTCCGGTTTTCTGGCCAGCAGCGTTGGAACCAGAGCGTTAGACGAAACCGAACATGCATTTAAAGCTGTCTTATATCTTATCAAGTGTCTTTTAAGTGAAACTCGATAGTAAATGTTTTACATTGGTTTTGTAAACTTGCTATTCGTATATGACAGTCAAATGTTTGCTAAAGTTAGCTACAGACATCACAAGTCGTGTATACCTTTAAAATGTGACTTCTCTGGGGGGGCAGCTTCAGCGGCTAACTCGTTGTTTTGCACGCGATAAAAACGGCTTGACGATAAGGCTGCATGTCTTATCCTCGTTTTCTCCAACGTGAATGAGCGTGTCAAGCCTCGTTGTTTGGATAAGCTAAACGCATTACAGTGTAGTTAAAATAGCTAAAGTTACTGCTGTGTGTGTCCTGAATAAGGCAAACTGTCTATCAGATCTTTATCAAGTCTTTTGAGATCCGTTCACAGCGGTAAAAGATGTGGTTGTAGCAAACAGTCTTTACATAACTCTGCACTGCGTGTGTATGGCTAAATAGAAGCTATGTGAAACATCACCTCTTTATTAATTATCCCTTTGTTTTATGGCCTGAAAGGTGTCAGACCAGAAGCCGCTGGGGAGCTGGACAGTGAAACAAGGACAAAAACTGACGTGCCCGGCAGTCTTCAACTCACAAACCAATGAATATGTGGCAGTAACAGACAACAAGGTAGGCTTTGGTTGCTGCAGTGTCTCACTGGACACTTTTATTAGGTACATCTTACTAATACAAAGTTTGAGACCTTTTAGCCTTCAGCACTACTTTAGTTCTTCGACAATGTGCTGAAAACATTACTCAGAGGTTTTGGTCTGTATAAACATGACAGTCAAAAGGTGCTTTATTAGATTGAGATCAGGTGACTGTGTGGCCCACTGGGTACAGTAAACTTACTGTAATGTTTAAGAAACCAGTTATAGATGATTTCAGCTTTGTGACATGGGGCGTTATCCTGCTAACGCAGTCATTGACAGTTAGGTGTACTATGATGAAAAGGGGTGGATATTATCAAGAACAACCATTTAGTTACTATAAAATCGACTTGGGAGCAGAATCAGTCACTATCGGCACAATAGGTAAACACTATTTTATTTTGTGAAGGGCCAGTATCAGTCAAAAAAAAGTCTATCGGCCAACATATATGTGCATCCCTCTTTCAATAGGCAGTATCTGTATTTCGTATATGAGATCAGTTCAAAGATGTCTCCAGTGATCTGCGTTTTCAGAATAAATTTTCATGTTGTAATGTTTTTGATGTTGTGTCTTTAAGGTGATAAGAATTTGGAAGGAAGATGACATACTATTGGACAAAGCCTTCAAAGCAACAGTAAGTCCGAACATATACATTGATGTAGACAGTAGACAGCCACCCCGCTTCTACCACCAAGAACAGAAATGAAGACTACAACAAAACACACCATCCCAGCTCTAAGGGTATCTCCTCTCCACTGGTGTAAATATTTTAGTACAGATTGTTGTAGAGTCCACTGCTCACCGTCTCCACAGCAAGACTGGTTTTAATAGTTTAATTATTTATATAGCACATTTAATTACAACAGGAGCGTTGACCAAAGTGCTGTACAAGAATACAACATGCATAATAAAACAACTTAGAGTATTAAAAGCAAACACCAAATATGAATTAACAAACAACTGTATTAAAAGCCAGTAAATAGAAATGTGTTTTAAGATAAGATTTAAAAAGATTGACAGTACGAGCCTGTCTGATGTACTTAAGACTTGGAGAGAGCAACAAAACGCATAAGAACCACTGTAGACCTGCTGATGATGTTAAATTGCACATTGCTCCTAAAATTCTCAGTAGTATTTAGAGCAATTAACCTGAAAATAATTAATTAACTAGTGTGTTATTGACAGACGTGAACACTTCTGCCTTTTCCGTGTGCTTTTTCTCCAGGTTTCTTCAGATGTCTGGAAGGTTCACTGTACACATGGAGGGGAGCCTGTGGTCTTGTTTCAGAGAGGAGCTGTGAGACTGCTGGACTCTCTCCTTGCTGCTCCGCAGCAGCCCATAGAGGAGGTGCTAGCTCAAGAAGAAGCCATCAGGTCGATGTCATTTGGCAAACTTTATGTTGACCTTATTCTAGAGCTGTACTTGAGTGCAACATGTTAACTTTTAACCCCCCCCCCCCCCTTTTTTTTTGTCTGCAGGTGGAGCACCATCATAGTGGCAGAGACCCAGCAGTTTATCATCATCACAACTGAACAGGTAAAATACTTGATGGGCTAAAAGTTTCAAGTGGATTTAGTTTTAAGTGCTCATTGCTTTTGCAACACAGCTAATGTCCTTGCTTTTGCCCAACATGACTGTCACTGTCTCCCCGCAGAAAGGAGAGCATTTTCTCTACTTGCAGAGACTGAACCCTAACTCTGTACAGAGGTACCGGCTTGAGAGAGAAGAACCTGGTCTCTCCCCGCTGAGCTTCTCTGCCACTTACAGGGATAAGCACATCTGCCTCCTTTATCTCTGTAAGCCACACTTTCCTGTCAGAACATTTTGAATGTTGGTGCTTGAGGCCATATGCTATGGAATTTGGAAAAGATAATTACTGGCACTGTAAGCCAGTTACAGGGGGTGGGAGTGTAAAAACGTACAGCTGTGTTCCTTCATCAGGGTCATCAACAATTATAAAAATGTGACTTTAAAAAAAATGACATCCCTTAAGTAACTAAGTTTAAACTTGTACTCAAAAGGCCCCTAGTCCCCCTCCTCTGAACAGTACTGCTGAGCTGATTTGAGACACTTTTGAAGGATTAGCAGTTTAAAATAAGACGTGTAGTGAAGGTCCACTACTGTGAATAAGATCCCCTTTGCTCTCTCACTTCAGTTAGTTGTGAATGCACTCTTCTCCAATTGCTCACAGTTTGATAATCTGATGTAAATAAGTGGTGCACTCTACATGTATGAAGCTAAATTACACAAACACACAGTTGGTGAGGTATGCAGTATGTAGTATTGCTAATGTTTAAACATTTCTCTCACATTTAGACCCTAATGGTCACGTGTACCAGAGTGTGCTCTCCGTGCGGGGCCTCGGGACTGAAGAGGGGGTCCAGGCCTTACCCCTGCCCCGTAGCCTGCTGCTGGGTCTTCCTGTTGGTGATGGCCAGCTGGAGGCAGCGTCGGCCATGGCTCTGGATGAAGCCCATGTAGCTGTTGTTGGGGTTCCACATCCCTCTGCTGGAGGTGGTAAAGGTAAATGCTGTTAAATTACAATATCTAAAATAAAGATCTTTAACTCCTCTACAAGTACCATACTGTGCATGGCAAATCCTCTTGAAATTAGTCTTTTATATATCAAGGCTTTCAGTAAGCCCTTGTAGGGAGTTGGCATGGAAACAGCGGCTTTATTTTTTAGTAGCACAGTTTCACATTATCATACTGATGAAATGTAGAGCTGTTATTTTCCTACCTGCTTGTCTTTTATGTCTTAGTTAATCAGTTAAAAAAACGTAAAACTCAACTCTGCTTGTTTAGTCTTAGCTAGTTATTTCTTCTCTTTTTGCCAAGATCACAAATAATAGTGATAGCGGTGTAAACAGCTATCACTTGATGCTATGTTGTTTTGCCCTTTGTTTTTAAGTAATTAAATATAGTAAATAATGGGTTAGCTGGCCTAAATGTGGTTTCTAGTGTCTGGATTTTATTCAGTGGCTAAAGAAAAGTTCTGAAGCTGAAGTGGTTTTGCAGGTTGAAGTTATTAGAACTGAAATGAATGCTTGGTTAACATGCTAGCTTTCTGGCCTAAAAGATATCTGTCAGATCAAAAATGAAGTATCTGATCTGGGTGTCTGTAGTTCCTGAATGTCTCTCTGCCTGTGTTATTTTAGACTTTCTTTGCATCTGGAATACCAACTTTCAGACGCTTCAGGCTGGAAAAGAGATGGCTGGAAAGATCTACGGACAGGTAGGAATGCATTGACCCAAACAGAATATAAAGTTTGTTTATTTATTTATTTAACGGTCCTGGTTTTTGACTAGGATGAAGCAATAAATTTTAAAGCAATAATGCTACTCAGAAATTGTGACTTACATTAGTGCTAAGTCATCATTCACAATAGTAAAGCCTAATCTTTAAAAATGACTGATTACTTCATACTCACACGACAGCAATCACACGTGCTCAGGCTTCATTGTTGTTAACTGTGGGCCAAGGTTCCTTGTCCTTCCAGCTGCTGGGTGCTGATGGAGGACTGTATGACTTTGGTAGAGCACTGTGTCTGCACTCCACTGTGACGGGGCTCACTGTCCCTTCTCACAACTTTATAGCAGTTTACAATCTTAAAACCAGTGTATTAGACACAAATATGTAGCAACAGTTTTGAACTATGTCTGCATCATCTTTGTGTTGATTTTTATTGTCTCTCTCATACAGCTTTGGAGTTATTCCAACAAGGTATTTATTCCACATGGGAAAACTCTCTCCATTATACCCTTCGAGTGCCCCAAATCTTCTCTTGCCTCTGCCCTGGGAAAATTAAAACATACAAAGATTGAAGGTGAGCTGAATCAAACATGTCATACTCTCGCTCGGCTCAAAATGATCTCTGATTCCCATTTTTACATGAGAAATTGTGTTTTCTCAGTACTCTTTTGTTTGTTTTTTAACCACAGAGTCGAAGACTCCGAATTCTGTGCCGTCTTGGAATAACATTCTTCACGGTGAAAAAGCTCAGCCCTCAAAATCTGCAGAAACGAGGAGGACGGTAAGTTGGATAAGTGTTTTTGCGAACTGTGAGTTTGTCATTGTCCAAACTCTTGCAGAGACGAACGGCTTATGGCAGAAGCCTTAACATTGTTCCCGTTTGTAAAACCTTTATATAAAAGAGTTATATAATATGATAATGGGAAACATGTTTCTTTGTCGTTCTGTTTAAATCTCTGATGACATTAAAAGAAAAAATAATGTTGCATAACATTCGGAATTACTGAAATAAGGTACTCTAAATAGTAAGAAGAAATATTACGAACTACTGAAAAAATATAGTAATATTTATTTATTAAACTTGTCTGTGAGACACCAGTGTTGTGTGGTAGATCCTTAATTTGATTCTTCTGTTTTTCCATACAGAGAACGACCCGTAAGTCCCAGTCAACAACTAATTTAACAACTGACCAAGTATTAGAGCTCATCAAGGTAAAAACGTGACTTATTTTTATGACACAGCTTTCGTTCTGTATGCTTCAGTGCAACAGAATTATACCAAACAATTCTGAATTTAAGAAGTATATTTATTTTCCCTCTTAGACAGCACCAGTGGAAGAGATCCAGAAAGAGGTGGAGGGGTTCCTGACCAGGGCAGAGTTCCAGGACCTGCAGCCCTCAGTGGGACAGCTTGCATTAACCCTCGTGTCCCGGAGTCTTGCCGATCCAGCCTTTTACTCTTCTAGCACGCTGGCACAGCTGGTTCACACTCGGTGCCTTTGCCACAGGTATGTATGGCAAGTGAGATAAGGTAGATGGAAAAAATATTGACTCTCAAAACTCTTTTAGTGTGTAGAATTTATTTTATATTCTTTTAATGTATTTTACATTTTTAATAAGGTACCATAAAATAGGTTTGTACTCTAATGTGGGAAACATGAAGGAAACCCCAAACTGTTTTCTTGCATACAGATGGAAATATTCAACGAGTGAGCAATTGAATATAACTATGTGCCGTCATTGCATTCAACAGTGTGTGTCCTGACCTTGTGCTTCTGGCCCTTGAGAAGAAGGATTACTTCCTGTGTCAGCTCTGCTTGCAGTTCTTCCCTGACATTCCTGAAGCTGTTACCTGTGCCTGCCTGAAGGCATTCATCAGGTAAGACAGGCTGTTTTTAACTGTGCAACAACTTATGTACAAATTCCAGTTTATGGACAGTAAGTCATCTGCCAGTGTCCTTTGCATGCTAACGGTATTCTTACTTTTGGTATGCATACAGTTGCAGTAGTATTTTAAAGTGGACTTCCATGCTTGTCCTTATCTCTGCCACATATATACTCACTGGAGACACTGTTAAGTATACCAAGGTAGTATACCAAAGTAGTACCAGGAATCCCCTTTTGCCTTCAGAACTGCCTTACATAATTCTTTGTGGCGCAGATTCAAAAAGGTCCTGGAAATGTCCCTTTGAGAGTTTGGTCCGTATTGGCATAAGAGGATCACATAGTTGCTGCAGATTTGTTGGCTGTACATCCATCCTGTCTCTCTACATGCCAAAGGTGTTCTGTTGGGTTGAGCTGTGGTTACTGTGGAGCCCATTGGAGTACAGTAAACTCACTGTCATGTTAAAGAAACCAATTTGAGATGGTTTGAGCTTTTTGCCATAGAATCCATTAGCACAGGGCGATATGACCAAAAATATTTATCACGATATACATTTGAAAATTTTGCGACAACGATATAACTGACGATATAATTGACACTAGACAAAACACTTTACAACTCCACAACTTTAATAGTGCAAAAAAACCCATCAATGTATTTTCACTTAAAGAAGCAGCTGTTTTTTATGAAGTTATATAAAAATGTAACAGTGCAAATGCAAATTCCTTGCTGACAGTTTAACCAAAAGGCATTTCCAGTGGAAATTGGCCGACATATCCTCAGCATAACCATGTATAATATCCACAAAACTTAAAAGAGGTTACGCACACACAACACTGTAATATTATGTTGAAGCACAGTACGTATCACTCCGCGAGGCTCCTGCCTACGGTAGCCGTAATGCTCCAACAATCCATCAAAGTCGTACTAAAACATCTGACAGATTTTCAAGCGCCGTGTACGACATAAAATCGTTTCGAGGTCAGTAAATGCAACCAGAATTGATACATAAGCCCCATGGGATTATAAGGGGCACTATCGATTTTCAGAAAAATCAAAGGATTGATTTGAAGTGTGCCGTATTTTCCAAACAACACGGTAATAACGACGGCTCGCTAGCATGCGCTACCAAAAATAGTGCTTTGTTGTGTGTCTGATGGACGAAAGCTAAACCAGTTCCACACCACTGAAGTTGCAGCATTTTTACAAACCAGTTCTGGTTTATCTGTTTCATTCAACGATCTGCGTTCGCCCTTCTCATTCTCCATCACCGCCATGCTTTTTCCGCCATGTGCGTATGAAAACAACGCATGTGCGTTTTACCCATATTCTATCGCGATATTTCATTTTCTTATCGTTGCCCAACATTATACTGGTATTACCCTGAATGTTATGATATGGCCCAGCCCTAGAATCCATCTTATAGTGAAGTAATAAATGCATTAAAAAAATCCAAACGGCATTGTGTATAACAGCAAAGCTATGATTTCCTCATTCTGACCTGATGACCTGCTTCATTTGAACTTTAGCAAGTCTTCTTGACCATGTATGTTTGCCTAAATACAGTGAGCAGCTGCCAAGTGATTGGCTGTTTAGATGTATGGAAGTGGCTGGTGAGTGTATCTCAAATGCAGGTGACTCTAACATGGCCATCTCAGCCACACACCTCTCACTAAAAGCAGAGAAACTCCACCCACCTGACATTCAAGCCTGCTTGTGAGATGCAATGAGTCTGAAGAAAGTAGCCTCAAAGGGCAAGGAGTTAAAATGTCTCATTTCAGAACGCTGCGGGTAAGCATAAGATAAATGATTATTATGAACTGTGAATCATGCATAGCTACCCTAGTGGAGTACGAGAATCTAAACTTAGAGATGGGAATTGGGATTATAGGTTCCCTTTAATAATCTGATTCGTGGCCTGACATAGCATTATGTTCTATTAATGCAAGTTGTTTTTGTTCTGTTTCATGCAGTATACCAGATGTTGATGCAGAGAAGATGAGCCTGGAGCCTGACAGCGTCGAGTTTATGGAAAACCTAATCACGAGGGATCGTGCAGAGGCTGGCTTGCAGAATGGTTTTAGCCCCACTTCGTCAGTCGTCAATGACCGTCAGACCAGAGCTGAAGACGTGAAGAAGGCCTCAGCTCCTTCACAACTCAGTTGTCCAGTGGGATTACACAAGGCTGTTCTAATGTATCCTCCCAGCACTCAGACATCGTCACCATTCTGTTCTGTTGTCCTCACAGCTTCTTGCATTCAGCTTAAATATCCGACAGTCTTTGTTGTTAGTTAAGCTGCAGTTTTGCAAAGTGGTTGTGTAATAATTTAAATGTAAAAATGCATGAAAATCTAAAAGTATTGGGTCTTAACTGGAGCTGCATAGAAATGAGATCTTGCAGACACCGTACAGTGACACCTTTCTCCTCCCACACCTAAAAGATCTTTCCTCTCAACATGTCATGGTAAGTAACTGCTATCAAATTATTCTACTTCTCTAAAAAAAACTAGACAGTGCTTTAATCCCAAACAACTCTGATATTTGCCATTTTCTTTTTCTTCCAATCAGCTTTTCCTCCAGTACCTGCAATTTCTATACCTAAAATATTCCCAGGATGCTTTCCCACAGATGGAGGGATTTAGATCACCAAGTCTGAGTCAGGTTTGTATCTGTGTCCAAATAAGCAATTAGGATGGCTTTGCTTTACATGCAGTCTTCCAAGTTACAGTTTATTGAACACTTGATGTAAGCACTCAGTGCACTCTAAAAATTGCTTACCAAGCTGTTGAATTTAGCAATTTGTGGAACCTCCATTGGAAGGAGGTTTTTCATGGAGCACCTTACAGCACAAGCACGAGGAGGGAATTTGGATCGTGCCTGCCTACAAAATCATTTCAGTTCATCAGTACTTTTAGGGCCGATTTAACTAAAAGCTCCTTTCAGGCCATCCCACAAATGTCTAGCTGGCATTTGTGAAACTTTCCAAACTTTATTTCTTCATTTAATTGTGTGATTAGATATCTTTGTCTTGGCTTAAGGGGCTAAAAGTTGTATCTTAATGACGAGGTGTTGACCCATTGCTTGGTATGATCCATTCTTTAAAAGAAGCATGATTGGTTGATTAAATTAAATTTAAGCAGTAATGGGCAGAATGGAAAAATAAGTACTCTTTTGTGAGTCAGTTGGGGGGGAAATTTTTGTGTTATTGATTTAAGTGGGAAATGTGAGCAAACCTGCAATGAGATCAGCCTCAAACATTATCACAATCTAACCCGCAGCATTTGGAGAATATTTCTCCTGGCTCATTTGCCTCGGATGTCGAAGCTAGGAGTGATGCCACTCATGACACGAGAGCATTCAAACAGCCTAGTTGTAAACGCAAGAAAAAATACAATTTGTTTAGTTGGTTAGCACACAGTTTTACAATTTCTTTTGCTTGCACCACTGCCGTCTTGATTTGGGGTTGGTGGGGCTGCTCCGACTTGAGGGGGCATTGCAGTTGAAAGTTTCTACCACAAACTCATGTTCTATAAATGGACTGCACCGTAATTGTTGAAGTATAGAAGTGAATTGAGCCTTGGTGTTGCAGTTGAGAAATAGCAATTTTAATGGTGGCAGATTTCAATATAATCCCACAATTATATTTAGGGTTTATAAAGACAGCTGTCTCTCCAGCCTTATCTCCATCTACTTGTCTCCATCTGTGGACTATAGAAAAATTTTAAAAAAATGAAAGAGGTCAGATATTTTCTTGCATGAGTGAATCCGTCAGCGCACCTTAAATATTGGTGCAACAGCTTTGACAAATCAGCTTGTCTGAATAATTTAAATAGTGATACTTTGAGTTTAAAAAGATGAACTGGATTGCATGAAATCTGTGTATTCCCTCTGTTGATGGGTGAAACAGGTGATGGTGTAGAGTTGTTCAGGGTCTTTGGCATTTTCTCCTCTACTTAAGAAACCCAGGAGCCTCTAAATGCCTGTGAATAACCTTTGTTTTTACCAGCCTGTAGTCCTGGCCTCAAAGGGAAATGATTAAAAATCATAATAAATGTAATAATTTTCCTATAAATGTGTCACTGAGAGCAACTGTTAGTACTTAGACTCACATCTTTGGAAATTATTTATGCCTCACTCCTAATGTTTCTCTAAAGCTTCTTCCCAAGGCCCTGTAAAAGTTGTTGTGATAAAGTTATTGTTCCCACCAACCACCCTTTACATAGTTTTTAAAGAAATCTTTAGCACAGAGGTTCACTTAGGTTTTCCAACCTGTAGTGTGGATGATTATTTCATTTGTTGAATAAAGATGTGAAAAAATTGACTGTTATTGGTTTAGTCAGATTGAGGTTGCTTATAAATACGACTTAGATGAAGCTCAGACTGCATTTTATTAGAACTCAACACATAAAAAACAATAATGCCCGGGTTCCTTGCAGCTGTGTCAGTGCAGCTATTATCTGTACGCCAAGAAATATTAAGTGACAGAAAAAACATTTTATCAACCATGCTGACAGATTTTCCTGTATGGATGCTGTGGACCTATTTTCACCTGGGTGTGGGTTAGTTCTCCCACGGCGCATACACGCAGTGTAAACATTTGCAAGAGAGATTAAAAGAAATGCAATCACTGGAGACGCACGATTTTTATTGCGCTTGTAATTATTTATGCCTGAATAATAAAAATACTTTACTGGAGTTTGGCACAAAATTGTTGTACACAAATTATTGAATGCAAAAAATCTGGTTTTCCTGTTGGAGCAAAACAAGAAAAAAAGAAAAAGAAATGCTCACTGTGCGTTGCTTTGTTTGATTGTAGATCATGGATTGGGTGTGTTTGCTGTTGGATGCTCATTTTACGGTGCTAGTAATGACTCCAGAAGCTAAAGGCTTGCTGCTGAACCTCCACAGCTTTGTTAAATCTCAGGTAACAAACAGTTATTCCTTTTATCTGCTCAGTAATCAGCTGCATGTTAATTTTAATAATACCTATTTTGTGTGTCAGCATTGTGCTTATTACTGCAAGCTTATTTTAAAAAATGCTTTCTTGTATCCTCAGGTGAGACTGGTTTCTGAGCTTGGAAAAATTGAGGGAAGCCTTCAAGAACTCCGTAAAATGAAGGCGAAGGAGAGCATCGGACAGTACTCCATTGAAATCATTGAGCTGTTTTAGAATGTGTACAAAATAATTTTAATCAATTATAACACCATCTTCTTCCAAACTTTTAGATAAAATGATTTCACGGTTATTATTCTTGAGTGCTTTTTTTTTTTTTGCCACAGACGTTTGCTATCCAGATGTGTAGGCCTTGAAAAAGTTGCGGCTCTCTTTTAACCATGTTTTAAACTTGTTTAAGTCGTCAAAATATTTGACAATTCGCTTAATTTCTGGTTTTGTAAAAGTTTAATGCAGAAGCCACCTCATGCAACAGTATGGTGTGAGATTGTAATGTTAATATTGGGGCTTTGCCTTTAGAACTGTGAGAGTTGATGACTTATTTTTGTATGTGTCATTACACAGCTGAAAACTGTTGTGAAAACCTTTTATGTTTAATATTAAAAAAGATGATGAACACATGTGAATTCATTTGTCTTTATTTTTATTAAAAGCTGCTGTCAGATATCAGCTTAATTAAAGTTTTAGGTTTAAAAGTTTGTAGTGTTCATTTTGACTAAGATTAAAATATCACTTTCATTAAGTGTACTAAAATATATAAAAATATATAATGTACTGTATGTGGAAGTAGGTGAAAAGAAAACTGTTATGGCTGTTACTGAGGGTGAGCATTTAGCAAGATTTTGAGTGAACCTCCAGTTGAATTTTAGTTTTCTTCCATCAGTGAATGTGGTGCTAAAAAGTAAAGATGAATAAATCTAGATGAGGGCAGTCGATTGGTGTTTCCATTATTTCCCGCCAATAATCAACGCAAACTTATCTTCGTGGTGACAGAAAAGAATGATTCGTTGTCGGCAGGATTCGAACCTGCGCGGGGAGACCCCAATGGATTTCTAGTCCATCGCCTTAACCACTCGGCCACGACAACCGTTACTCACACATGTCTATTAGAACCAATATCACACTACACTACTACATAACTATTGCCTAGTTGAGTTTTGTATTACAGGATAATATGAGGTAAAAAATACACTTTTCTGTATGTTTAGCCGTTCTGCGGTAAGGTTATGTTCCGATGTTCCGGTGAATTAGCAATCCAAAGTGACAGAAAAAACGGACAGAAAAGATTAAAAAATCAAGTTAACCTATACAAGTTGTAAAGTCAACCCAGAGGGTAACAAGTTACAACTATTACGCTGTACATACTGTACATACTTTAAAGGCTAATAAGCACTACTACTTTTTAAGTTAACTGACTACACTGGCAAACAATGCGTAACGATTTTAAAGTTATATAATATACATTCGTATCTTACATAAATTGCAGCTGCTCTCACACATTCGTGGTATTTTCAAAGTGATTGGTGTGTGGTATTAACTTTAATGAGCGCGTATTTGTGTCCATGTACAAGAGCTTAATGTCGGACGCATTATCTTCTCGTCTCGCTTTGCAGTGACGACGATGGCGACAGGGCCGAAAATGAATTATTATGTTTTACTGAGTGCACTCAACCCACCTGAGATTAAAACCACACAACAGAAGCACCAAACACTAATAAAGTACTATTGACGGACAGCTTTTGCATGGATAACCAATTTTATGAACTAGCACGGCAATTGCGTCTATTGTGGAATAGTGAGTCACGTGATCTCGAATAGACTCAGGCCTGCTAAGATCAAGTTCGAGAATGACGCTAGCACTTCCGTGTATGCTACAGCGACGTCCTTAAGGCGAAATCGCTTAAATCTCTTTTTTTTAAATATATGGCCTCCCACTGTGGCATTAAAAATAATATTCTGCATTTTAAACGGCTGCTCTGCTCTGTTCAACTGGGTATATAGTCAGTGTTTTAATTTTTTGCTTTTAGTTGCTTTTATTTTGAAGGAGCTAGCGCTCTACGTCTGCTTTGAGCCACTGTTAACCTGAGTTTTAGCTTGACGCAGTTTTGGGGCCTGCTGTGTTTTCAACGGAGGGAGAGTGGTGAAGAAAAATGGCGTCTGCAGGCGACCCAGAGCGGGACACCGGCCATTCAGTTTGAGCTTTCCGCTCACAAATAGAGACTGGGGGTTGGTGGGGACCTATCTGGAACCGTCGCCAGATCTGTTGGCCTTTTCTTCCCCGTTTTTCTCCGGTGTGCGTCGCTCGTTCAAGCAGCGAGATTGAAGCGGAACAGAAGATACTCTCTCCCACAATGAGAGGGAGAAGAGGAAGGCCGCCCAAACAAGCAGCAGTGATGCGGGAAGGTTCACCCGGGCCAGTCCGTGGCTCTCGAGGCGGCAGGAGTAGAGGGATGCGTGGACGGGGAAGGGGCAGAGGAAGGGGTCGGGGACGGGGTGCAAGTGGGGGTGTTTGTGGCACTGGCTCTGTGGAGGTAGATACAGAAATCTCCGGTCGAGAGAACTTTCATTCGTCCCGGGGCCGCAGGAAAGTTGGAGCCTCCACCACCGCCGCTACCGCTGCATCGCGGGGCAGAGGAGGCAGAGGTAGAGGCAGGGGGTCTAGAGGCGGCCGCGGCAGTAGAGGCGGAGTGAGGCGGCCTCAAACCAAGGTGGTCTACGACGACAACAGCGACGAGGAGGATGATAATTTAAGCTACAGATCAGACGAAGATGAACTCCTGAACGACAACCCTTCGTCGGATCTTGAAGAAGAGGAGGCCTTGGGAAACGACTCTGACTATGTGGAGGAACTACCAGATGATGATGATGCCAGCTACTGTACCGAGAGTAGTTTTAGAAGCCACAGCACACTCGGGAGCACCCCAGGTAAGTTCGTTTGCAGGTGCACGCACTTTAGGAAACCGGGTTTTGCAGTACTTAAAGTGTGCATTATATTTTTAGCTCAGTACAGAAACCAAGCCGCATTGTTCAAAATGGAGCTTGCACTCAGAAACAGGCCTTTGTTTACCCCGTGCTCCTGGTCGCTGGTTTGCAGATCTGCTCCACGCTTTAACCGGCTCTCGTGCTTTTGACTTTTGAAGGATCAGCACATTTCTGTTATTAATTTGTAATTAATAATTTTTTTTGTTCGTGCTCTCGTGCACGGTATTACCACGCGCGCTGCCTTGGATTTCTTTTCATACGCACCGAGAAATAGGATGCACGAAAAGCGTTTGTTACTTTATATTCATTCATTCACCTTTTCCCCAAAAATGTGTGCGTATTAATGAAAGTTTGTACAAAGAGAGACGCTGTAGCCAAACACGTGTTTTGTAAATATTGTCTCCAGTTTGTAGCGGATTTATCGGGCATTGTTGTGCTTTTTCCCCGTGAAGTGCAGTAAGTGTTCGTAGTAAAAGAGCAGTTTAAAGATTTTTATGCACAGTCGGTAGACCTTACTCAGGCTTTTTACAGGGCATTTGCACAAGACATATTTTCGTTCATATTGCTGCCAAATGAGTTTGACAGGCGTTTGTTTTGAAGAGAACCGCTCTTTCTTTCACTTGTTGCAAACAGCAGCTCATTACGTAGTGGTCGTTACCATAGTAACCACTCATGTTTATCAATTAAGGGCTTTGAATTCATCTCTTTTCCACTTAATGGTCACTTTAATAAAGTTGTGCGCGCAAAAATTAGTTGACACTCCTGTTATGCAATGCAATACATTAGAAACAGTATGCCAACTACTGGAAGTAATTCTAGATAGGATTAGGAGGACTCAGGAGTGCATTCCAGTATGTCCAACAGCACAAGCTTGTGCTTATACAGATCTCTGAAAAGAAATAATAGAATTTGGATTTTATTCTTTTACATATAAATCTTTTTTCCACTTTTGTCTGCAGTGGTCAGGATTCATTTTTCAAAGGATACACCCATAATTTTCGACTTTCTATTAATCTGTTTACTTTTGCTATAGATGTGTGAACATGGCAGCATTGTGTCCCTACCCTGAATGTGCTTTCAAAGGACTAATAGCAACAGACAAGCATCATTCAGTCCACTGGCTGACACATATTGTAAATTCAAACACGTTGCACATGCCAGTCCACCATTTGTGGACTCAATCCCTGTGTTTGATGCTCAGTTAAACCTCCTGCCTGCCGTTGTTGGACCATTTAATTGTTTTATTGCTGTAGTCTCTGTTTACCCATCACCTCTAAACCACAGTACAATATCAGGCCAACCATACATACAGCTGCTAAAAAGTGACTAGCTCACTTACACCGATTGTACAGTATGACAGGCAATGCTGATAATAGAGTTATTTATTTGGGTTTTGAAAGAAAACCTCATGTCAAACTTAAGAGCCTGTGAGATCTGCACACACTATTGTGTATTCATGTAATGCAAATGTTATAAAAACAGTGTACTTAAAGTAATACTACACTGATAATACATATTTAATACATCCAGTGGGATAAAAACAATGACTTGCAAATAATTTAAAGCCTACATATAAAAAATAGTCTTTAAAAATCATATCATACTTGCCTATTTTTAATCACGTGTTTGAAAGGTGGAAGTTGGGGCAAAGAAAGACTGGAAAATGCCTGGAGGAAAAGGGAGTTTGTAGAACATCTCACAACTAATGATGTTAATGTTTGTAACATGGGTGGCTATAAAGCATCCCCAGGAGACTGAGTCTTGATTAAATATAGGGAGGGTTTGAGCACTCTGCAAGACTGTATGGACAAAATAGTAAAGAATTTGTGCATAATTAAATTCAAATACTCGAGGAATCTGGTGAAATCTCTGTATGCCGTGGATGAGGCCAAAAAGCAATAGGAGTGGCCATGACGGCGAAATGCATTTTTAAAGAAACCAAAAAAAGAGATGATTTTAGTGTAGAAATGATTGAATGGTCTCAGAAACACTTGTGAACATCAGTGTGATCTTGAACATAGTTTGTCACTGGAGCCCAAAAGTTAAAACTCTACTATGTAAAGAAGGAAAAAAACCCCAACCCTCAATAACAAGATCCTGACCTGAAGTCATTTAAGAGTGAGGGGAAGTGGAAAACGGGTTTGATCTGTCAAAATCTGAATTTCTTCATAGGAAATCATGACTAAAGAATTGGGGAATTATCAAGTTTGTTATTAGTGCGCAATGCAAATGTTCATCCATCCATCCAACCATCTTTCTGTGCCTTTGTCTGTCATCCTTCTATCTATCTATTACTAGAAGGCAGTGCTGAAAAACCTGCCTACAGTCTGGGTCTGTCACCAAATAAGAGGAGCTTTATGAGATGAAAAAAGGAACAGCTTAACTCTTATGTATATGCAGCAAAGTGGAAAAGTATTTGGCTTCCAAAACTACAACAGTCTGTCTCCCCAGTTCCCCAAACACTCACCACATGCCGTTAAAAGAAGAGGTGATACAATCCTTTGAGAAACGGTCCCGTGTGCCGACTTTGTTGAAATGCAGGCTTAAAATTTTAAACGAGTATATTTTTAAAATGATAAAGAAGAAATACACATTGTCACCTATATATTTTTGTATTAGTGCTACATTCAAACAAATATAGATTTTTTTAAAATATGTTTAAATCCTACATCCTGCTTTTTCTTACATTTTACACAGTGTCATGTTTATTTAGTTATTCTTTCAGATGGGTCTGTAGGCAGAGATTGTCCAGAATGAATACCCAGGTTTAGTACATGCAGCTTATGCTGCAACACCTGCACACATTTCCTCAACAGTAACAAAAGCAGGCTTATAAATCAACTTGGAGCATTTAGTGTGTTTATCCTAAGACAAGGATATTTTTGTCAGCCTTTAAGATCACTTCCCCAGCTCTTCACACTTGGTTACAAATAGCCCAGCTCACATTCGTAGTAGCTTGTGATTCCTCAAAATTCCTCACATCTCCTGTTTCTATTTGTAAGGGGAGGGTGCAAAGTTCTATTACTGTTGTGTTATTGCATCCGTTTTTTTTATTAGAGGAGATTATTGGGCTTGGAGCTCGCCAGTTGCACTCATAGCACTTAAAAGATGCTTCTTGTGGGTTCTCCTGTAGCGGAAATTATAAGAAGGAATCTCCACAGATTGCTCTGGGTTTGCCAAGGGCATCTCTCTGTGGCTGTGTTACTGCAGACAGTTTATTCTTGCAAAATTACAGAGCAAAGTCAATAAGACCTTAAGGGTGTTGCTACATTAAGGTATAAGGATGTAATGACTAACGGTAAACTGCATACAGTGTAGCTCATTACAGTTTGGTGTCGTGTTTGTCTGTAATGTTTTTTTTTTTTTGTGATTTTGGCTTTTTCACCACATCTCTCATCTCTCCTGACTTTTTTTTTCCTTTTTTTCTTGCATAGGCCGGAAAAAGACTCGGACACTGCAACCACGGTCACCTATTCATGAGGCAAAGGACATTCCTTCCTTGGAGCTTCCCAAGTCCTCTGAGGACCTCCTTGTTCCTACCTCACAGCTCCTCAACGTGTCTGCCGTCTACGAGGTGCTCCGCAACTTTGGCACAGTTTTACGGCTCTCTCCGTTCCGTTTTGAGGATTTCTGTGCAGCTTTGGCCAGCCAAGAGCAATGCACGCTGTTGGCAGAGACCCACGTCTCCTTGCTCAAAGCTATTCTCAGAGAAGAGGACACTTCTAACACCACATTTGGTCCCACTGACGTGAAGGACTCCGTTAACTCCACTCTGTATTTTGTCGATGGTATGACTTGGCCGGAGGTGGTGCGGGCGTACTGTGAGAGTGACCCAGAGTACCGGCACATTTTACCTTTCCAGGAAAATGAGGATTACCCTTACGGACCATTGGATAGCAAAATTAAAGTTCTTCAGTTTTTGGTGGACCAGTTCCTGGCAACCAACATTGCCCGAGAGGAGCTTATGTCAGAGGGGGTGGTAGCGTACGACGACCACTGCAGGGTGTGCCATCGCCTTGGTGACCTGCTGTGCTGTGAGACATGTTCAGCTGTATACCATCTGGAGTGTGTCAAGCCGCCACTGCAGGAAGTACCAGAGGACGAGTGGCAGTGCGAGGTGTGTGTGGCACACAAGGTACCCGGTGTGGCGGACAGCATCCCAGAAGTGCAGAAGAGCAGACCATTTATTCGTCAACTACCGATTGGCTACGACCGACACCACCGTAAATACTGGTTTTTGAATCGCCGCGTTATCGTGTAAGTTCACATTGTTTCATGTTATGCTGTTGCACAGGATTGAACAGTGACACGTGGCTTCATTTTGTAAGCTGATGTACGTTGATAATATGAGATTTATTTCTTTAGTTATTTCTCAAAGTTTCCAAAAGACACAGCAGTTTTGACACAGTTTGACATTTCTTCTGAGGGGGGTTCATACATTGCGAAACTGAGACCGAAATCACGATTTCCATTTTCTTATACTGTAATACCTATCTAGAGTCAAGCAAACTCTATCGCTTAGTCAAAGTGTGCTGTTCTGGTGAAATCGGTAATTTTTCAGAAAAAACATCAGAGTAATAGAGTTTATTAATTTTTTTCATGGTCCAATAATGACCTAATAATCAGGCTTTCCATAAAATACCTTTTTAACATTTTCTTTTTTTAAATAAACCTCTCAAAAAACTGATCTGAGCTGAAACCGTGGCTCAAAACCTGAGATATGAATCATACTGTAAACTACTAATACAAAACAAAGACACAGGTGCCAGACGTTTGTGGTTTATCTCAACGAAAGAGCATTTGTTTGTTCGACTAGTGTTCTTTAAAGCACTTTAATCCACTCTAAGGCAGAGTCTCCAATTTGGTGTCGTATCAAAGTGGGAGTGTTGATGAGTGTCACAAACCATATGCACATAGACTTATAAAGAACATCACAGGGAAGCACAATATGCCCATTAATCCCTTAATGTGCTTTCTGTACAGTTTTTCTTCTTAGTACGATATGTACTCTAACTACTATGTCGTGTTTTGGGGTCTGTTTGGTTAATCACAGCCACTTATGAACAGATTGGCATCAGTGATTGACATCATCTTTGTTCCAGCCTGTAGGTGTTAATCTTTAAAAAAAAAGACCTGCACTATATTCAACATGCACTTAACTCAGCTGATTTAAAAACAGAATATTGTCACAAGTTTATTCCTGAGCATGACTGAGAGTATAGCATAACCACAGAATCATTCACAAACTCTAGATCGGGTTGTCAAACATAAGGCCCGGGGGCCCTAATCGGCCCAGCAAAGACTCCAATGCGGTCCAGTGGACAGCTTTAGAAAATGTGAAGAAGTGCATAGATTTTGAACTTTTAACTCTCTAAGTTTTACAGCTTTTCCAATTGAGAAATACCCCCACCGCTCATTGCAATCAGTACTAAACCAAAGTACACGGACATTTTCTTTGAATCAATGAAAACTTGATATTCTAAATTTATAATTGCAGGACAGTCTGAGCAATGAAATACCAGAAGCTTCTCTATAACTTTTTTTTTTTTTTTTTTTTAAATGTCATGTGCAATAAATTGAAGTGCTCATATAATGCTTTTTACCTTTTTCCCCCTTTGGTTAAGGGCGCTATAACTTTCTTTTGTGTCTTTGCAAAATCATTGTAGAAACTAAAACTACAAAAAGTCAGATCAAAAGAGGTTAGTCTTTCCTACAGAAGACCCTGCTTTTGAAATTGCTCGTATTGCAGTCCAGTGTTTTCTTCAGTGAGTTATCTATGTGATTATGTGCTGCATTTGCACAGTGCCTCGCTTTGCATCTAGTTTAGCACAACTCACACACAGAAACAAGGCGCTTCCTCTTAGGCCACATTTTTTAATGACTTGGTAGAGCACAATACATCTTCTGTGGTCGGCTGCAAGACAGAACACAAGAGTTTTCATGCACTTCTGGCATCCACGAAACCGAGGATCTAATGGGTAATTTTTATTTTTATGGCAATGTCTTCATATCAATAGGACATACTGGCATGTTAGGTGGCTAAGTTGGCTAGCATTAACATAATTGTTGATTACTTGCCCACAGGCAGCACCTGTGTCAAAACAATGATGCTCAGGTACCCTTAAGGAGCCACAGAGGAAGAAGTAAGCAGGAACACGTCAACCAGAGAGCATAAAATGTCAAAGAAACTTGTAGCAACTACAGGCAAAGTAGATTAGCAACTTTTCCCAACTGCGATTAAAGCAGCCATGATAACACTGATTGCCATATGAAAGGGTGGCGAATACATTAGTAGATTATCTAGATTACTGGAAAGTAGAGCAGGGCGATATGACCTAAGACACATAAGGCACACGGGATTTTTCTGTCGATTTTCAGAAAAATCAAAGAATTTATTTTAAGTGTGCCGCATTTTCCAAAAAAACACGGTAATAACGACGGCCCACCAGCATGCTCTACCAAAAATAGTGCTTTGTTGTGTATCTGATGGAAGAAAGCTAAACCAGTTCCACACCACTGAGGTTGCAGCATTTTTACAAACCAGTTCTGGTTTATCTGTTTCATTCAACGATCTGCGTTCGCCCTTCTCATTCTCCGTCGCCGCCATGTACGTATGAAAACAAAGGCACTGCGCATGCGCGTTTTACCCATATTCTATTGCGGTATTTCATTTGCTTATCGTTGCCCAACATTATACCGGTATTACCGTGAACGGTATGGTATGGCCCAGCCCTACTGGAAAGTCCACTAATGACCCACCAAACGTGACACGATTGAAATTCTTTCTTTGTTTGTCTTTTTCAAGAGCTCTAATGAGCTAATATGAGGACAAACATATGTGCTTTATCAGTAATAAAACATGTAAACTTTTTCAGACAGAGTTAACAGCAAATAACATGTCTGAACCTGGAAATAATCTGGACATTTTAAAAAGGTCTTCAGGTTACAACCAGGCTTTGTTCCCACTCAGTTCAGCCCAGATCAGTGTCACGGTTATGAGTACTGGTCAAATGCCTTTGATATTAACATTCAGGTTGAAACATCCAAAAAGCACAGCCAAGCATAGTCAAACAGACATAAAACAATTTTTGTTCAGTGCAACAAGGTTTGTGAAACAGATAATTCACCAGCAGGACTAACAGTCAGCAATTTCCGTATTCTTTCTATCCACACTGTACAATCATATTGTGGAAATGATTGGACAGTATACTTTTCTGCTGCAGATAATTTGTAATTGAAGTGGTGATTTACAGTTTTTAACACTGTATCATAGGGCTGTGCCATATGACCAAAATCTCATATCAGACATCTATCGTCCGATAACGATATAAATCACAAAAACTTTCTGTAAATTCTGTGAGTCTCGGGCAGCTCGACTTGCGTGAAGTGTTTCCAGCTGGGCGTCGTGTACCTGGAGTCGAGTGTTTTAACCGATGCATGAAACAATACATTTTTAGTCATAAGTTGTAACGGCCTTCTTTGTGAGTATTTATTACACGGCGTGCTGCGGGGAAAAGCCTGTTCTAACGTTTGAGTTTAAGATTTATTTTTTAGCACCTGACGGCTCTTTTTTGCTTCTCATCCGTAAATACTCTGCATACTCTTTCACGTGATTCAGTTTATTTTGAAAAGTCTCAACAGGATCTTTGAGCTTTATTGTGAAAGTTTTATGTGGAAAATAAACAAGCGGAAACGCGTTGTTGCTAACAACAAAGCATAAAAACAGTCGCTTGTCCGTCCGTAGTGTGGTTATATTAAATATAAGAGAAAGAGAGAACTTTAAGAAATTAATATAGCCACTACAGTGACCATCAGAACAATAAAAAAATATTGCCGTAAACAGTTTATTTTGTGACACCACGTAACAAACGATAGCGTAAAATGAAACGATAGATGTTTTTTATATCGTCATCCAATATATATCGTTATATCGAACAGCCCTACTGTATCATAACTTGGTTTCATGCATATGAGTACATATCTGCATGTTGGAATAGACCGGCTTTTTATTAAACCAGACTACATCTCCATTATAGTTTTAACATAACCTTACTATCAGCAGTATTGGTCCCATATGCTAGCAACTGATATTAGTATTGAGCAGCCACAGATGGTGTGTATGTGCACCCGCTGGATCAGCAGCAGCAGACAGTGTGCAACATAAATCATAAAGGAGCGTGAATGACCTAAACAAAAGGAGATTTAGGAGTTTAGGTGGCCTGAGGTTTGTCATTGCTACATTTCACTTTTTTTGCTTCCTCTGCTCCACCCTGATCATCAAATCAGCCAACAGCAGGTGCTGAGCAACCAGTCTTTGGACTACCTTTTAAAAGCTCTGTTCACTTACAAGAAGTGCACAAGCTGTGTATGTGCAATGGGGGGAAATAAAGTTTTGTGCGCACAGATGGCCTGGAGGGATGCTGAATAGACACTACTGTTACATGGCCTGAGGCTTCACATTCCCTTGGCAGGAACTCTGTAGCTGCTGCAAAATGAAGTCAAGTGTCCATGTGAAGTGAAGTTGTTCCATTGTCATGTAAAGATTAAGATATTTCCAGTTTTGTTTTTTAACATTTAGAGAAAGCAAAAGGATTTATAAACCTTTTATTTAAAATGAACAGATAAGCACCATCATATCATGTCAAAGATGTACTTGAAGCAAAAAAACATGGGCTCTGCCTTTGGGGAAAAATATTAAAGTACAAAATTTCCATACAAAACATGTAATCTCTGTAATCACTTGTTATTGAGAAAGTTGTTGCTATGAGACCTGTGAGGGCTAAGCCAGCTGTGATACTCTAGTACATGTACTGTAGCTCAAATATTAATATGCATTAATATGTGTTTGTACATCACAGTATTTCAAGGAAATTTCTGATAATATAGAAAAAAAACTGAACAGTGTTTAATCAGTGATTGCAGCTTGCATTCAGCAGCACTTATCAGGGCCAAAAAATGAGGGTATTTTCTATACGTATTTTCCAATGAGCTTCTGTCATTGATGACTGCTACCTAATTCAAAGTCTGAAGCTATTGCCACATGATGCTAGCAGCAGCATTATATGGCAATGGCAGTGACACAGCAGAAATCAAATGTTAGTGCAAAAGTAGCTTAGGTGGCGTTTTATACCTTTTAATACTTAATAATTAAAGTTTTCATCAGCCTCTATTGTTTTTGTCACATAATAACATTGAATGTGAAGGATATTTTCTATTTGGGATGCTGTAATTTGTGTCTAGCTCTTTAATCAGCTGCTTTTCCACCGCGTAACCGCATCAGTAGTTTCCATCTACCGTTTGCTCGTCCTGTCGCATGGAGCGCAACTAGTGAGTGCTCCAGCAACACTTGGTTGAGTCATTTGTTTACTTTTGGGTCCCTCATCACCAGCTGCTAATATCTCCTTCTTGCGTGCCTTTGTAGCCTGGTTCTACTTGATGGTGTGTTTTTTGAGTTTGATGTTTCTAATTTGCAAATTTTGCAAAGCTTTGTTGGAGGATAATGAAGTTGGTCCCCTTTTTTATTCAGTTGCCATCAGATGCGGACACGAGGCGCTCGCTGTTAAACACGTCTGGGTTTGTCTCCTTGTTGTGTGCACGGGGGAGCGTGAACACAGGGCATCTATATCGGTGATATCTTGATGTGACAGTTTTATATCATGTATGTAAAAAGTTTAGACTATTTTTTACCACAGGCAATACAATATGACACAGCCCTAATCTAATGTATATCAAATGGGCTTCCAGAATTTTATATATAGGTATACGAGTTCAGTAAATGCAGATAAGAACCAAAAACATGTCTAACAGTCCCTCTGATAGACATGTCAGACCTGTACCTGCTTATTGTTAAGGAATTTATATGTAGTTCACTTAAATAAATTAAAAAAAAAGACTCATTTGAATCAAAACAGAAGATAAAAATAGGCTTTATCATTTCTGACAAGGCTCATTTTTTTCATTTTTTTGGTCAGTCAAGCATACACTTTGAAGATTATGCATTTATTGCTGATCATTCATTTTATAAAGTGAGTCGGACAGTACCACAAAGAGTACCACTAAGTCTTAAGCTGCTACGCCTTGCAGTTTTTCTTGACACCCATTAATGTGTTACAACCTTAAGTTTAATATTCAAACCACAGTGACAGGGACATGTGCAACCTAACAAGAGGGCCACTGTGCAAAGATCATTTCCAGAATCCAGGTAAAAATTCTAATCCTTGGTTTAAATCACAGTTCTCTCCAAAGACTTAGGTGGACATGATTGGCTGTGCGTGTGGTTGCCTGGATACAAAGCATGTCACTTTAACTTAAAACTGCATCCTGCTTTGCACTCTGAAAGGTGTGACTGGAAGCGGCGATGCATATCTCTGCTCTTTTGATTCTCCTTTCAGGATGTCGGTCTGCTCGCTGCTAGTTTTAATCTCTCATGTTGTCTTCACTCTTCAAAGTTACGAAAAACTTCACAGCCGATTATGTTTTTGCTTAGTTCACACAGTTAGTAAAGTTTTGACAGCGATGTTATTTATTTATTTTATGTTGAAAGTTATATAATTACTCTGAAAATCACTGACGAGATAAGATGGCCCATGACAGAAAGCCTCCGTCCTCTACTGTGAAAGCTAGCGTCACAATCATAGCTACATTTGTCTGAATGAGCCAAAGCTGCAGTCAGGTCCTCAAGTTATCTTTCTAAATGCAGAGCTACAATAGAGCCGCAGCGTTGGGTGTGCCAACTCACACTGTGGTCACCACCAGCGGTCGTTTGCGACATAATATATCATGCCGCGCTGCAAACGCTGTATGTCACTTTGCATGTTTTGCACAGCCTGTTTTATGGATCTGAGGAAATGGAAGCGTAACCACACTCTTCAGGGACCTTGTACAGTTCGATATGAAAAATAAAATGAAAAGAATAAATCTCCTGACAAGGAAAACTACAAGCCAAATTAAATCACATAAAGTCCAACAAAGGAATACAGACAGCAGAGTCTGTATTATTTAGAGCATGTCTGCCAGCAACTCTTCCTTCTTCCCCTTAATTCTTTCTGTTTTTTTATCTAATTTCCCATGTCTCCCCTACAGTGAAGAGGATGGTGAGCTGGAGGACAAAGCCATCTGGTACTACAGCACCAAGGTAATGCGCCTCATCTTTTCTTGTTGCCTCTGTTGTAGGCTCTTCACCAAATCACATTTAATCATTTTGGATCATCTCTTTTATTACAAACCTTCTTTCTAATGAAATGCTTCCAGGCATTTTTTGTTTTTTTTTGCCAGTAAGCCTGTCATAACTTTGAGCTCATGAAGTGGAGTGATCATTTACTGAATGCTCCCTGAACATCTCTCTCAGGTGCAGCTAGCTGAGCTGATAGATAGCTTGGATAAGGAGTATTGGGAGGCTGACCTGTATGCAGCCCTTCAGGAAATAAGGGACGAAGTGCACACGCATATGGACATCACCGAGGACCTAACCAACAAGGCCCGTGGCAGCAACAAATGTTTCCTCACTGCTGCAAATGGTAAAGAGATTATCATTTTTTCTCCTCCTCATAAAATAGGCTCTGACAGTCTCAGATACTCTCTGTTGCTGAGTTTAATCATGCTTGAAAGGAGAATGATCTCTTTTAAACTCAAAGTAATTTTTTCCCCTTTCTCTTCCTGCCTCTCTTTCCTCATTCCTGCCTGCGTTCTCGCCAGTACTCATGAATGCCACCCAGTCATAGATGGCTTGGCCATAGGAATCAACTCAGCTATTATGTAACGTTACGCTGGTCCCAGTCTGGAGCATGTCCAGCACTTGAGCTTCTCTCTCTCCTTATCCCTTTCTTTCTGCCTATAGAGTATCTCCCAGTGTCTTTTGTTTGTTTCAGGGCGTTTTGTGTGTCTGAAAATTAAGAGCGTTTGACCACATATCAGCTCATTTATTATAGCATTTTGTTTGCTCTGCAGTGGAAGTTGGTAAGAATAATACACTGGAAAATATATGCTAGATTAGTCTTGCATTAGTCATGGTTCATAATGATCTTTTCTCTGTTTTCTTTACACTGGGTTTTCTTCTGCCTTAAAACAGCCACTTCAGCTCCTTTAACTTTAAGGCCAACTTTCCTCTGATTGGCTGCTCCTTGTAAACAGAGGGTTTGAGTTAAAATTTAAATCTAGTTTATGTATTGCTACATAACTCTCTTATGTTTTGGATTACAGATATTTAAGATTTAATGTGATAATGCGCAGTACAGAATTGGCATACCTTTGTCTTCTCCCCTCTACAAGTTTCATATCTGGTTGGGAGGTGGAGACACGACATTTGTCAGCAGCTCTGGCATTTTCAAAGCAGTTCTGTTTAAACAAAAAAGAAATTTTAGGACAGAAAAGAAACAAAAATATGGAGTTAAAAGAATAAGTGTAATTCCCTTTTTGTGTGTGTCAATAAAGGCATTTCCTCAGTGTTTGCATGGTCTTCTGTTTGGACTGCTTGGAGCAAGATTTCCCAATTTGGGTAAAATGAGAATACAAATGGCAGATAATGATGTGCAAGATGACACACATGCGTTCACAAAGAGTTGATGTGCTAAACAAATATCAAATTGGCCACAAAATCTTCCATCAAAGCCTACAAGCTACCTCTGCAAACATAGATTTGTCAGCGTCAGCAATAAAAACAGATGTCAGTCATTTGCATTTTTGGTGTTTCTTTTCCCTTGACCTGTTTTTTATGTTTTGTTTTGCTTTTGTCTTGCTGCACTGGGATTTTAGCCCTTGTTTTTTATCAGAATTGTAGTGTTTTGGAGAGATGGCAGCCTCACCTGAACAGTCTTTCTACTGCTTTGTTTGAATTCTCCCTGGTTATTGATGCAGTAGGACAATGTATGAATCAATAGTCGTGCCATCCAGTTTTTTTTTTTTTTTATTACTTTTGCTGTATTTCAGTTACAGCAGCACAGGGAGAGGTTTTACGTTGACCAGTTTTACATTCACCTGTCGTCAGACCACCAAAGATTCCTGTTTCTAAATCACCCTTCCAGGATTTTAAATACCCAGCATGTCACTCTTGCTGTGTGCGCCAGCACTGGACTAGTTGACCTAAAATTGACCCTTACTAGAATCTAGCTCTATTGGGCTGCTTCTCAGCAAATTCTTCCCAGTTTAACACAAGTGATTATATAGATATTGTACGTGCTACTTATCGAAATCATAAACAGTCTAACGCTTCCACCATTCATAACATCAGGAATCCATTGAAAGGCAGTTCTCTTTTCTCCTAGTTTATGTTTAAAAATAAAGTCCAATCTTGTCATATAATGTACTCACATGGCTCATTTTTCATTATCATTGCTATTATTTCAGTCATCATTTCTATCAATCCATCTACTACTTGTTGATTTACTCTAATAATTAAATAAAAAAGTCTTCATCAGTTTTCTTACGGACATTTAGATGATCATATACTGAGAACATCTCAACCACCAACATAATCATACGAAGAGCAAATGTGTTTTAACTCTTTTTTTTTTTTTTTTTTCCAGTCCTTCAAATTTTCTTGTACCTTCTCTTGGCTCAGCCCTGAATTTGACTTTTTCTTTCGTTTATTTCACTTTACGTCTTCCTCTTTTATCCAGAGGAGATCCTGGAACGATTGCGGGCTAAGAAGGAGGAGGAGCTGGAAGAGGTGAAGAGACGGGCTGCTGAGGAGGCCCTGAAAGCGCAGATGGAGAAGGAGAAAAGAGAGGTGGATGTGGAGAAGGAAGACGAAGATGTCAAGTTGAAGGATGAAGGACAGCAGGAGTCCAAGATAAAGGAAGCGGCAAAGGAAGAGGGGGAGCAGCGGACAAAAGAAGAAGAAGCTACAAAGAAAAAAGTGGATGGTGCGAAAGCTGGAGGTAATTATGTTTCTTAATTTTTTTTAAAACCCATAAAAATATGACCAAATATATGCTACAAAGTAATAATCATAGGAAAACAAAACATGTATGCAGCCGTCTTATTCTGCTTTTGAGCCTTGAACAAACGACATCACTGCAATCCTGTAATTAGTTATTGATTGATGAATCAATTTCACACGTGTTTGACCTATTAAAATGCTGTGAGCATTTCAAGACAAGCCACAGGCTGGCAATCACAAAAGGACATATGCCTATTTCACATCAACGTCTTGTTGGGACTATGCTGCCCTCTGTGATAAAGAGGCATTTAAAAAGAGCAATAGCACTTTTATTGCACGTACTCTAAGAAAGACAATACACAAACGTGCCCAATCATCACTTCCCCTCTCCAGTGTCTCCAAGTAACCAATGCATTATCAACATATTTACAATGTTGCTGCTGTTCATCTGTAGTCGGTGAAGCTCCTCCCACTGGCCAAGAAGGCAATAGTAGCATCTCAGATGGATCCCTGCTTCCAGCACCCTCTTCTCCAACGCAAACCGTCACTGCAAGCTCTAGTGTGGCCGCCGAGGCTCCGAAGCCTCCGGCCTCGACCGCAGAGGCTCTGACGGAGGCGTGTTCCCATATGGAGGTCTCTAACAGCAATGAAGGTAGATAGATAATATCAGATAATATTTAAGGGAGAAATTGCCCTCGTTAAGCTGCTTTTGGAGATCTGCTTCCCTGCTACAGTTTGCAACTTCACGGGACTGAGTGATGAATCTCATTTTCATTCCAACATTTATTCCCGGTGCTTTGGTGTTCCTCTTTGCATGTTGCTCTCATTCCGTCTACTGGCTTTTGTGTTCAGTGGTGTAGTTACTTCTTGAATATTGGCTTTTGTCTTGAAACTGTTCCAGTCATTTCGTGCTTTAACTCAGTTCCTCACACTTGCTTTCTTTAAAGAGCTTAGAAGCTGGTTGTGTTGTGTTGATTCGCAATCACATTGCATTGTCTCTGCAATCAGCACGACTAGAAACGCTCCTTTAACAGCTAGAGGCAGCATTCACATTGTCTGGTTCTTTAAAAAGCTTTTCTTTGGCTGCTTATTTGTAATTGCTTGTTTGCAACTGCTGCCTTTGATTAGACATTGCTCTGTTTATTAATTGCTTTTGTTGGGTTGATAGCTCAGTTACGATGTGCATATACTTCTCCAGAAAACTGACTCATCTTCATCATTGATGTCATGTGTGCACAAGCCTCATTGTTGAGCGTTTCTTTCTCTGGACTAGTAGCCTTTAACTTTCAAGTGACCAATCGCTACACCTGAAGTGTTTATGTGCTGCATGCATTAGGCATGGCTTATCAGCAGAGGGAGCCACAGCCCCAACATTTTTCAGAATGGTCAGAAGAAAGTTCCTGTCTTTACTGAAACTGAAAGATTTTTTTTTTAAACCTATATATTAACCCTTCACTTTTTGACCAAGTTTTTAAAGGCTTGATTATTCATTTTTCTAATTTACAATATGTGCTGTTTACTTTTGTGTTGTTGGGTTAAATGATCCATGAAATGTGTCCCGGATTGTTACCCACGGAATAGCACAGTTGAGTCACGTTACTCTTAATTAACCTGTCAGCTCTGTTTATGATTAAATTTACATTTTATTGTATTTTGCCTGTTCAGCAGAAAACCCGCCATCAAATTCTGTTCCTGTCAGTGGCGATGGCATCCCCAGCCTAAGCCAGCCTCCCCACCCCATTGAGGAAAACAGTAACAGCAGTACTGGAGCTGGTGTCCCTCCGAGGTGTCCTGAACCCCCAGACTTGGCTGACAAGTCCTCCCAGTCATCCCTGGCAAGCCTTGATGATGCAGGTCTGACAAAACAGCGTTATGTGACTACATTATACTGAATGATGCTATATTATACTACCTCATTATACTACCTCAGAAGATAAACGATCCCAGAAGAAGCTGTTCACTATGTCTTACTAATCCCCACCACACTGTATATTACTGAGTTTATTACTGAGCTGTGTATCACTCCCTCTGCATCTGAGTGAATTGGACATTGCATTACCAGGGGACGGTAAAGACTCCACCAACGGTGAGGGGACAGGTCCCGGTGCTAAGAAGTCATCAGCAACTCGCATGGTGACCCGGCTGAGAAACCCAGACAGCAAGCTGAGCCAGCTGAAAAACCAACAGGTCGCAGCTGCTGTTCATGAAGCCAATAAAGGCTTCAAGGAGGGCAGAGAGGTAAGAAACCACCAATGGATTTGGGCTTTTAGACTATACATGAAAAATTGGTGCCAACTTCCTAACATGGGCGTTCAGACCGGCATTTAGATTCATGACGTTACAAGGAACACAAGGATTCCCACAGATTCTTTCAAAAAAGTCTTAAACAGTGTTTTTTTTTTTCCTTAAAAGTATTATTTTTATTTGCGATACTTTGATGCTTATAACTAAGATATATTCTAATGCTTTATCCAACAAATCATATTGTCTATTTTTTTTTTTATTGCTGGCTGTAAAATTACAGTCAGCAATAGTAAATGTAAGAGAAAAGGGAGGAGGAGCTTGTTTAAGGATATAATGAAAGGTTCAGGGAATGCTTCGTTATTGCTGGTAATAATTTTACTGTGACTTGGAAAATGCACAGAGACAACATTGGTATTGAAAATAAACATACATTATCATCTTCACCTGAACCACCCACTGTAACACTGGATATTACGATATAACGCGGCGGTTGTTCAGGCGTGTCATACTCATACACGTTTTCATACCTCTTTTTTATTTATTTATTTTATTTTTTTACTTTAGCTAATTTCAAAGCTGCATTGTCAGTGTGGGTAGTTCAATTCAGATTACTTTTATCTATATAGCACCACTTAAGGCTCTTAAAATTGTCAAGTTAGGACCCTAAAATAATGGAGAGAAAGCTCCAACAATTGGGAAGCACTTAGCAGCAGTGGGAATGAAAAAGTCCCTTCTTGCAGGAAAAAACCTCTGGCAAAACCAGGGTCAGGGAGGGGCAGGCATTTGCTGTGAACAGTTGGGAGTGATGGGAGGAAGACAATAGGGACACGTTTTCCATTCCAACTGGATTTTCATTCTTTGCTTACTTTTTTAGGTACTGGTAGTAAACGCACAAGGTGACATCACTCGCGTCAGCACACGCAGCAGCAAAGATGTGGTAATGAAGGGGACCCTCAGCCAATACTTCAAGCTTGGGCAGGAGGGCAAGTACCGCATCTACCATAACCAGTACAGCTCCAACGCCCTGGCCCTCAACAAGCACCAGCACAGAGAGGCAAGTAGGATGACATCTTTATTTCTAACATTTGAATGTTCTTTCATTACTGCATCTGTCTGCCTGGCTCTTTGGTTACGGTATTCTTCTGCTGTTTTTATTTGCATGTGTTTCTACTGTTTTTATGGTAGTGCTAGTCACATTGAAGTTGTCCTCACTTGTGAACATATGTGTCTTTACTTGTTATATGTGGCAGATTACACCAGTTACTATCCAGATGTGGAATTAAGTTCCAAGTGAAAAATCTCATTCAGTTCTTTGAGTTACTGGATTCCAATTCCCAACTAAATTCCATTTATCTGTTTGTTTACAGGACCATGACAAGAGGCGGCATCTCTCCCACAAATTCTGCATGACACCAGCAGGAGAGTTTAAGTGGAACGGGTCCATTTATGGCTCCAAGGTTCTGACTATCTCCACATTGAGGCTCACTATCATTCAGCTGGAGAACAATGTTCCAGCACCATTCATGCACCCGAACTGGGCGTCACACAGGTATAAAAGGATATAACAATAATATCTCATGTGCTCCACTGGCTTTGTTTAGTGGGTTTTAGTGGGTTTTAGGTTTTATGTCTTAACTTGCTAGTGAGGTTAACATCTTTCAGTAAATCAGTTACTTTTTGGGTCAAAGTAGCATTTTTAACAGATGTAAAAGCAAATCGTGGTCAGACTGTCCGCTTACAAATATTCTGTAGCCTAAATCTGAAAGAACCCAGAGTACAGGAGGAGGTCGAAACATGCTAAAATGTTGTTTTTGTTTATTTTTTTTCTTTCAAGGACCAATTGGATCAAAGCAGTTCAGATGTGCAGTAAGGCCAGAGAGTTTGCACTGGCTCTGGCCATCCTGGAGTGTGCAATCAAACCTGTGGCCATGTTGCCCATCTGGAAGGATTCACTGGGCCATACCAGGTATGAAAATCTTTACATATTTACAGTGCGCACCATACATGCTGCCATCGCTTCACAAACACAAATAAATTGAGTTTTACAAAAAAATTCAAATACCTTGAAGAGCTCAAACAAGCTTTCAGTGCACGTACATGGGGGGGATGTGCATGCAGTTAACTGGCAGAGCTGATCTTACCCAGATCAGATCAAAAGGCCCACCCTGGCTGTGAGGCATAATATTTAGATTGCAAGTCCACAACCAGCCACCACCCACCCCTGCCTCTACGACTGCTTCAGCAACACAAGGGCTCTTTTGAAGAAGTGATTGTCCAAGATTTCACAAGGTTAAGAGCAGAATGTGTGTATGTGTAAGCCCGAACTGTTAGTAAGTGAGAGAGAAAGTGGCGTTTCAAGGACTTCTATCAGTGTGTATATGTGTGAGGTTTTCATGGAATGGTTTCAAGACTTGCTGTCATCTCCTCATCTTTAATCAGTTTGAAAGGAAGAAGTTTTTGTGATCCATCGCCATGTATGATGTTATCACATGCAGCAATGATAATATTGTTGATGCAGCATTCTATGAAAACAAAATTTCAGATGCAGATTGCTCAAAAACGACTTGTTTTCTGCTTCTCTTAGCATAAAGATGGAAACATTTAAAATGTACGAGCTGTATGACAATTTAAAATGCATTTCAGGTTAAATCGCATGACATCCATGGAGCGTGAGGAGAAAGAAAAAGTAAAGAAAAGGGAGAAGAAGTTGGAGGATGAGGAGACGTTGCAACAGGCCACCTGGGTCAAATACACCTTTCCAATAAAACATCAGGTAGGCGCCGCACAAATTGCTGCAGTTGAACTGATTAGTTAAACTCTGGCACATGAATTATTGAATGGATGATGGATTTCATATGTAAACCTGGATAAGATCATCCAGAGATTAGCACATCATTTCAGATTGGACCACGTTTAATGTAAATTTGTACTTAATACTGTGCAGGAAGACCACAGTTAAATGACAAATAGGTAAATGGTAAGATAGGCAATCATGCTTAGATGCACTTGTGAAATGATTGTGCACTAATTTTAATGGTAACTGCAGTGTGTCGGTCTAATCTACATCTGCATTGAAACTTTGGAAAATGAGTCCTTTTAGTGGGAAACACTGAAGTGCATGTTGTGCATACATGCATGAGGACCGATCAAAGGCTCTTTGATGCAGAAAGTTAAGCTCTGCTGTGAGTCATTTCCCTCAGCAATTAGTGATCGGTGTGCAAATAACTTTGTAACCTTAAAGCTCTTTGTATGATCACCCTCTTAGTTTCCCACCACATATTTCCCCCCCATGTGAATATTTTCGCTTTACCTGATTCCTCTTTTCTTGCCTGCTTTCTTGTCCTACATGTAGGTGTGGAAGCAGAAAGGAGAGGAGTATCGCGTTACAGGCTACGGGGGCTGGAGCTGGATCAGTAAAACTTATGTGCCACGATTTGTTCCCAGACTTCCAGGAAACACCAACGCCAACTACCGCAAAGAACTGGAAGGTGTGGAACAGGAGGCTTTTATGGCATATACTGTGCTTTTTAGTTATTAGACAGATTTGTACCTCATTCAGTTATTTTTACGTGTTATTGTTTGTGTTTATTGGTCAACAGTGAATTAAATTTCTCTGGATTTATGGTGATGTCCTGGGGAATTTAATGTAATTTTCTCAAAAGTTCCCAGTAAATTCAATTATTGATGGTCTGTCCTGCTAATTTGCTCAGTTAATATAATAGCAATGTGTGAGCAGCTTAATATAAGGTTGTCCTCTCATTCTGTTTTTCAAAGATGCTAAACTTGGCAAGAAGTGTGCTCTGCTGGACTTGAGTCGACGGCCTAGTGTAGTCACACCAGAAGCTCAGGGAGCTGTTGCAACAAGCAGCGAAGCAACAGAAGAAGACTCCTCTGGCTTCCCCAAGCCACTGACAGATCAACAAACGTCAAATGAGAAGAGGGATGAAGAAAAGAAAGAAGATTTGGATGAAAAGGAGAAGGCGAAAGAGGAATTGCCAACGAAGATGGAAGTGGATTCAACAGACTCGCCGTCAGATGAAGTGCAAAGTATGACTGATTAACATTGCGTTCTGTTGCATGTATTCTATGAGTGGTCATTTACTTTAAACTACTTCAGCTCTAATACTTATGATTCTAATGTAAAGAAACACATTTAATCTGAATTGTTTTCTCTCCAGGTTCCTGTATTCAGGAAGATAAGGATTCCCTGAAAGAGGAGCCAACAGAAAGCCTTCAGCGACCATTTAACTACGACGTAGTGGATGTCAGCAAAGGCTTCCTCACCCGCATTGCTTACAAGAAGAAGGTCAAGTCCTCCAAACTGGACAGTCTACTTGAACGCAGAGTGAAGCAGCACATTATCGAAGAGAGGCAAAGGGAACAGGTGTCAGCCTCCAAACCCCAGGAGCCTAAACAAGTTTCATCCACACCAACTCCTGCTCTAAGCACTCCGGTCCGGCCACGGTCACCACTCAAGCCCCAAGCTCTCACTCAGACACATCTCACATTGGGTGAAGCTGTGAAAGTGGAGGAGAAACCTTCCACAACTGAAACTCCTGGGCAAGGAGAAGTTGGAGGACAAAAAGTAGAAGGGGAGAGTCGGGATGAGCTCTCTAAAACTACAGATAAGATTGTCACTCCTCTTCCTTCTCCTGTTACAGACTCCACACCCAAAGACAGTAGCAGTACAGGTGAAAATTCAAATTCACCACAACACCAAACCCCCTCCTCGCCCCAGAAATTGGTGGAAAATGAAAGGACTATGGGGCCAAAGGAAGCTAGTTCAGGGCAAGAGGCTGTTAAACTCCCCAATGTGCAAGAAACAACAGCTAGTTCTTTAGAGCAACAAGCAGACTGTGTAGCATCAGATGTTACGAAGGCTGCGCTTACTGAGAATGAAGGGTCTGAGGAACCCAAATTAAAACTGAATGCTGCAGTGACATTTAGAAGTGGTCTTGACCAAAAAGACAGTCAAGACACAGCTCCTTTAAAACCGATTCCCCAAAACACAGAAGTTTTAGGCTCAGTGCATTTGAGCACAGAGGAAAACGGTATGGGGCCGGAGGATAGTCAAGACAATATGCAAGATATTGGAGATGGTAGGACTGTAACTGGCACTCCCGAGCCACTTTCTCCTCTCCCTCAGGTAAATGGTAATGATGGTTTTGGGGGTGAAAACATGCTGGGTAACTCTGTGGTGAGCTCAAATAATGGCATGCTCAACAACAGGCCTCAGCCCAAGGTGAACAGTATTGGGAAGGATGAAGATGAACAACGGCTTGCTGTGTCGCTGAAAGACACCACGCAGCAAAAGCCTCTAGTGAACGGGGATCTTGCTTCTTTAAACACTAGCACGGAGGTTAGGGTCAAAGAAAATTGTTTAGCTTCTAAGGTAGAGGCAGAAAGCAAGATTACAAATTCTGACCAAGATTACAAACCTCCACTGAAGAAAACAAAGCTGGAAAATAACGTAGACACACCCGCAGAGCATACTCCGAATGTTCACAACAGCACATCATCTTTTGAGTGCACAGAGACCAAACCCAGTCTTGGCGTCAAGATCATAAGAATGGCTCCCTCTCCTATACCTTCAGCGGAGGAGTCGAGTCTGAGCGACGACTTTGCAGAGGAGAACGGCAGCGGTGGGGCGACAGAACCAGTCAAGACCATCATCACACAGGTAACCACAACCTCCACCACCACTACCACCACAGTACTTTCCACTGAGATGAGGATAGCCAAGGTGCCGTCGACGACATCTGGAGAACCGGTGGTGCCTGTAGTGTCGACAACAGAGAGCAGCGCCGTGTCTACCCTCACAACCATGACCAAAACAACTGTGACCAAAATCTTCTCCCCGGGGCTCGATGGCCAGTCTGAAGACAGCCAGAGTGAAATGGTGACACAAGAGCAGAAAACAACACTTTTAGCTTCTGTGGGCGAGTCAACTACTGACGCCAGCGGTAAAACCTCAGTGTCGTCTGTTACCGTGAGCGAGGAGGACTCGTCAACAAAGGGCCGTGTGCGCCTCCTCAAGTTCTCCCGCACTAAGAAGACCCGCTCGGACACAGCTCTTCCCTCTTACTGCAAGTTTGTCACCAAGAGCAGCCAGAAGAGTATTTTTGTACTTCCGCACGATGACTTAAAGATCCTGGCCAGGCGAGGCGGATTCCGTGAGGTGCCAGTGTTTAGTTACAATGCTAAGCCAGCACTGGATATCTGGCCGTATCCTTCGCCCAGGCCTACGTTTGGCATCACCTGGAGGTAAGGTCCCATTCTCAGTTTGTCTTCCTCACACACGTCTTGCTTACTGTCCTCTCTCTCTGAAGCCGGTGTGTTATTAAATTCTATTATCTGTATTGAGTCTTAGATAAGATCCATATTTCTTTAAGCATGAATAGAAAAAGCAAAAGTGGAAGCAAGTTGATCTTTAAAGCCTAGAAGAGACATTGCCAGCTCATTATCTTCATTATCATTTGTTTCCTTTTCTTGTCTCCGGCGGTGGAAACTACTTAGGAGTTTAATCTTGTTTGATCCTGTTTTTATCATTTCCGAGCATGGGCATCCTGAGCGTAACTTCGTAGGTCTGGTTATTTCCCATGTTCCTTTGATTGGTCATTCAGAATTGGACGTAAGTGTGAATGTGAGCATGAATGGTGATCTGTTGGTCTGCTGTAGGCCTGTGATAGCCAGGCAGCCCCTCCAGGGTATACCCTCCCTCTCACCCTGTGATAGCTGGGATAGTCTCCAGTCAGACCGTGACCCTGAATTGAATAGACTGAAGGAAATTTAAAAAAACAACAACAACATATTGCTTTTAACTGTTAATTAATGGCCATTCAGAGGGAGTATATTTCAAAATATATAAAATGCGAGGACATCATCCTTGGTTCATAAGCTGAGTTCCCTGGTTGTATCCCGGGAGGAGATGCAAATTTCTTGAGGCTTACATCAGGTAGGGCGTAAAAATCTGTGAAAGTCAAATATGTGGAAATACTTACTGTGTTAACTCCTTTGGATGTGTTCGGAGTGCTCCGATGGTTTCAATGTCGCCTTACTGCAAGACGTTTCTTGGTTCAAAGGCAGTTGGAGGCTTTCTTTAGAGCTCATGATCGCCCACAGTTAAAAAACATGTGCTTGTTATGTTAACTGGTGATTCTACCCGCTGTGAGTAAAAGAGCAGGCCAAAGGAGCTGTCTTTTTTCAGATTTTGGAGCAGCATAATCATGGAATTAGAATTACATTAAATGGCTTTTGAACATCATGGTATAACCAAGGTTATCCACTTTTATCAGATATTGTGAGGTTCCGCTTCATGTCATATTGTGTCCAGCAGCACTGCAATTAAAAATGTTCTTAATGAGTTCTTTTTACTGGACTTCTCATTTCTCTTGAAATGTAATATCCAGGAAATGAGCTCAAAAATGCAGCATTTCACAGCGTAAACTCTCTGTAACCACACTTTCTTTTCCTAAGAAGAAAACTTAAGTAATGATAGCCAGAGCGCAAGTGTGACACAGTGCGTAATCATCTCTGTATTGCTCTGTGGTTCTTGTAGGATTATACAAAAGCAGTTTTTGTGTTTCTTCTAAGTTTTATAAGCGCTCGCTTCTCATCCTTCCCCTTTAAACAGTTTCCCAGCTTTGGCAGAGCGCCATGTCCTGGTGATTTATTGTTCGTTATGTCTTCATTCTTCCTGTCTGCCGTTCGTGGCTTTGGCCTCGGGTGATGCTGTAGCTCTGACTCTGGTGTCACACGGGGACCTCTGGTTATTTTGACCCGACCTCAGAGTTCCAAAGGAGACATGAATCATTCGGTGGTCGGAGAGGTGTCACGATGTTCGCTTTGCGCGCTGACCAAGCCCTGCAACCCAGGCATATTTTTCCACCTGCGGTTACACATGGGAAAGGGAATATCCACCAGACCCCGTACACATAATAAGCCCTGTGACGATCGTGTTTTTTCAGATGTTTAAGATGCCGTTAATGACGATATCCAAATGCTAGCCTCATTGTCATAGCAGTCATAACGATATAAGGAAGGGATTTCTCCTTCTTTTGGAAATTATTTATTGATGGATGAGATGTTGTTGTCTATTTCTAGACTGAGAAGAGTCTGTTATGTTCAGAATTGTTTACTTGCTTGATTTGCCTTGTAGAAATAAATAGCCCTGCAGGGATCTGTTCTGTTTCTTTAGTGGAAACAGGCGTGAAGTGTCAACATCATCACCAACAACTCTCGTTTGTTTTTATTCTGCCGCTTCCAGACCCATGATCGTGTTTTCTGTAACTCTGAGTCAGTCATTTCAGTGACACCTTAAGTGCTGTCAGTAGTGTTTCTAAGCCTGATTCAAATATTAATTTGCACTATACAACAACGAGACAGGGAGCACAGTGGTGCTGTGAAAGGAGGAAAAAGGCTCCTGGTTCATGAGGCCTGTCTGTGTGCATTATTTCTTTGGAATAATGTGGTAGATAATTTAATGTAATCGGTATCTATCTGTCCAGGTATCGACTGCAGACAGTTAAGTCTATGGCTGGAGTGAGCCTCATGCTGAGGCTCCTGTGGGCCTGTCTGAGATGGGACGACATGGCCGTGAAACCGTCCGCTGCTGTCGGCACCACGCGTACAGGTAGACCTTCAACAGTTCCAATAATCATTTACAGTTTTCATCCATTTTCTGTGAGGAATGGCAACAAACTCCTACAGAGGTGTTATGCTAAATAAGTGCTTCCAGCTACAGCTTGGATTATAAATGTTATTTTTATTTATTTATTTTTCATTTTGAGGTAAGTCCAGATTTTTTTTTCAGGATTTTATTTCAATTGGTTTCTTTTTACTAACTTGTAATGCAGCGGTCTCCAACCTTTTTTGCGCCACGGACCGGTTTATGCCCGACAATATTTTCACGGACCGGCCTTTAAGGTGTCGCGGATAAATACAACAAAATAAAACTAGTACCGGTACCGAAAAAAGAAGATTTATTCATAACACACGTGAAACGACCCAGAAAACGCTTAAAACCCTGAAAACCATACATTTCACACCCAAACCTCAACTCTCGCGGCCCGGTACTGGTCCGTGGCCCGGGGGTTGGGGACCGCTGTTGTAAGGCATGGTAATCTTTCCGGTCAGCAACTGCTGTCTTCCCAAAAATTCCAACTTGTAGTGTCTTTGCTTCTTGATGTCCTCTCTCTCTATACTTATCCCTGTGCTGGCCCAACAGAATAATAGAGAAAACATGTGCAAAACATTTTTGGACGTCACTGTTTTTATGTTGGAGTGCGTTTCCTCCATCTTTTCGGGCTTTCCTCCTCATCACCATACCAACCCAGCCCTATCCCCACTCATTGCTACAGAGACATCAGATACTGAAATCACCACCACCGAGATCATCAAGCGCCGCGATGTGGGACCATACGGCATCCGCTCAGAGTACTGCATACGCAAAATCATCTGCCCCCTTGGAGTGCCAGAAACTCCAAAAGGTAAAACAGACTTTTCTTTTTTCACATTTATTAAAAAACAAACAAAACAAAATCGTCTCGTGTCGTTTCTCACCATCAAACACAAAGTGAAACTATTACATTGCTAACTCTTTGTTAATAACAGAAATATGCAAACCTGTTTTGAACTTTTAAACTTTATAAATAAAACCATACTATAAATGTTTAAATACAGTTTTTTCTTTCTTCTGTTTGGTTTCCGTGCAATAGTTGGTTGTTGCTCAGTATTTCAGCATTGGATATGCTGTCTTTGTATTATTTATTGCTAAATATTGGTTTTAAAGGATGTGCAGTCTGTTTTAATTTATATTTTACAAGTTATTATTGTAACCAGGCTGTAAAACTGACACATTTACATGGGCCCCGTTTCTGTCCAATACCAAATGTAATTACAAATTGTCGTCAATCATTTGTTCATCTTTCTGCCAGAAACCCACACCCCACAGAGGAAGGGTCTGCGATCCAGTGCCTTGCGCCCCAAGAAGCCCGAGCCTGCCAAGCAGACTGGCCCAGTGGTGATTGAGACCTGGGTAGCCGAGGAGGAGCTGGACCTCTGGGAGATTAGAGCCTTCTCAGAAAGGTCAGTGTCACAAATTTAAGCGGAATATGTTTGCGCGTCCTGTGTAGGACTAATTATATGAGTCAGTATAGAAACATGCCATACTGAGAGCCAGATATTGTTCCAGAAGATTTCTTTTCAGAAGAAGAATTTTCTGACTCAGCTAGAAGTAAATCGTCGGGTTAGATTTGTGCGAGATATGCTGGAAGGTCTAAAAGTTGATTTCACTGGAGGTTTTTTTTCTTTTAGTATTTAACTCCGTCACTCTAGACATCCTACTTGCATATTACTTAAGAATTTGACAAATTCAATAAATTTTTAATAATCTTTTAATTGTTCTTTTTATCTTTTAACCTTTTTCACATATTCTCATTTCACAGGGTGGAGAAAGAGAAAGCTCAGGCAGCTGAGCAGGCCAAGGTGAGTGAGGTTCAGTTTTTTAAGTCTGTTTTTTCATTTTTATCAATTTATTTTATTTTATTGTATTTATTTATTCAATCGTTGATTTATTTTTCAAACTTACGGTAAAACTTTTGTCTTTGTGAGAGTGGGGAAAAAAAGGACATCTGTGGTCCCACCTGGATAAAAAGATAAACAAGTCCAGGTCACGGTATTTTATTGTTTTGGGGCTTTTTTAAAAATAAATAAGTTAATGTTGTGATCAACTTGTTTATTCTTTCAGAAACGTCTTGAGCAGAAACCAGGTTCAGTCACAACCCCAGCAGGAAGTCCTGCAACACCTGCTGCCACACCCAAAGTGATCGTTGGCTCACTGTCAGGCCAGGGCACCCCCGGCACCAAGGTGGTCCTGTCCACCAAGATGGGGACCCCTGTCACATTCCAGCAGAACAAAAACTTCCAGCAGTCGTTTGCTACCTGGGTGAAGCAGGGTCAAAGCACACAAGGTACTTTACAGTGTAACTAATAATCAGCATTTGGAGTATTTTTATAGATTTTTTATAATATCCTGAATACTAAATAAAGTTGTAGGACCTATCAGAACAATGCTTAAGATCTATATATATCAACAGGTGCTGGTACCAGGAAGTGGATTTGTTTTAGAGCTATGTGAACAAAAAGAAATAATTAAAAATATTTAAAATCAATTTACAGTCTAACTATTCTAGTCATGGATTAGTAATTTGTTTACTGAACACAAACTGAACCAGTTGCTTACAATTGACTTGATTTACTGCACTTGCAAGGGAGCTGTTTCAGAAGACAAACACACACACACATGCACACAAACAAAAGAGAACAAACTGTGTATGTCACCATGAGCCATAACTGATCTTCATCAAGGCTGGGCTGTTGTTATGCTGGATGCTGGCATCCGTGTCAGAGGTGTTGCTGCACCCTTGCATCTCCATGACAGCAAACATCTGATTGTTCTTAATGGAAATCTCACTGGAGCCACAGAGATGAGGTCCTCCAACTAATCCGACTGCACCCCGCCCTGCAGCTTTTTCAGCCGGACAGTTCCTGTCCCCACACTGCCAGAGGATCGTGGGCTCCTCTGGATCATGAGCACATGCAGGCTCTTACTTAGGCCAGCGTTTAGCTTCATTTTGTTTCCTGTTGACCGTGCCTGGGACATGCTGGGTTCATGTGTTCATTGCACAGCTGCAGGCTGTACTCATCCAGAAATGGAGAGCAAGTCCTTACCACAGTTTATGCACAGACGGGTGACAGCTTGCATCACCTTCAGAGGAGGCCATAATGCATAAATGTCTTAAATATGTTTTGGTGCTGGAGATGACATTTTATTAGGCATAGCTCTTTTCTAATTTTTAATTCTCTTATTTTTTTATTAATTCAACTCAGCAAACTGTAAAGCATTTCTAAAGTGTGTTGATTTCCTGTGTTGTGTCTTAAGCACAGTGGTTATGTGCGTTAATTAGAAGGGAAATATTATTGAATTTGCAGTGTAGCTGTATTTAAGGTACCTTTTGTTTATTTCCTTCCTTTAATTAGGAGCGGGCTCAGAGACCACGGTGGCCACATCTGGTGGGCACACTTTCCAGATTACGGGAACCTCTGTTGGTGGAAAGGTTGTGACCACCAAGCTGCCACTACCTGCCAACAGCAAGATCGTCACAGTCAACGTGCCAACTTCGCAAGGAGGTATTGCTGGTTTTAATAAGTCACACCTCAGAGGCAGACCTCGGGCAGCATTTCTTCTTTCCGTCCATTTGGGGGATGCATGTGTGTTTGTTTTCATTGCCTCACATCAGATCCACACCAGCAGCATTTAAAATGTGTCAGAGGGGCCAAATTAGATCTGGCCCATGAATTGGATGCCATTGTAAGTAATTTAGCGTACTAACCACACACAGAGTTGTCCAGGGGGACTGAGCTTGTCTTTATTCATTTCATAAATGTTATTGGCGCCAGCTGCTGCATGCCGGACTTTTTGAACCTTTCAAATCAGGCGTTCCTTTTGTCCTTGATTGCGACGGTCAGCGAGCCAACAACACGACTTAGGGGAACTGCAGGGCTCAAGTGTCAGGATAGCTGGTCAATATTTAAAGCACTCTTTCAGAATCAGTCACACAGCTGTCGCAGATTCACCATGGTTCAAATGCGACCATGTTTTTCTTAATGGGCATGAAATTACATGCATCTAAAATACTGTATTTAGCTTGGTTTAGATCTAGATTTATCACCCTGCATCGTTGATTTGTTCTCTGATTCACTGGTAGCTTTAGTTTGCTTTTTCAGTTGTTCTCTGGCCCCGTTTCTTTACCCTGAAATATCGTACATCATTTCAAGCATGGCTTTCTAAATTAAGGACATGAAACAAATTGTGAAAACAACTGATGTAGCCAATATATACGTGTGTATATATCTTATGATAATAATGGGTCAGAAAAGTGGTTGCGTGTAGTGACAAACTTCAACTAGCTGACAATTTTAAGGAAAGTGTTCCTGATGTGGGGAAACAGTTTAATGGCTTCTTCCTTTGTCCATCCTCCATCAGTGATTAAATTGTTTGTTGACAGATTT